TATGTAAGGGTTACCCCCTTTTTGGGATCCCCCAGACACACTCATAGGCTGGTTGCCTTTGGTTACCGGCTACTCTTTTCATTTTTTAGGTTTTAGTAAACACTAAAGATGTAAGCTAGGAGATTGTATGATAATAAAAAACACACAGAAAGAGACAGAGAGACAGTTGATGTGATTTGCATTTGCTTTGTGCTTTAGTGCCACTGCTTGCCATTGCAAACTGCAATGTAGCCTTTTGCAGTTTACTGCACATGTGAACGCAGCACTGAGTGTGACAGGTTTTCTTTTAAAACTTTTTGTAGTAAGAGAATCCCCTTTTTCATCAAATGACAACTTACTATTTCTTTCAAATTAAAATGACTCCTGCAGCTCCTCTTTTTTCCGTTAATTAAGTTTAATTAATTAAATAACACAGATATAACAATATAATACGACAACTCACAATTGGTATTGCAAAAAGACTAGATACTGTGTACCCTTTAGATTAGACAATTTTAAAAGCCATTTTTGCATTCTAGTATACAAATAGGAGCATTTTCGTACTATTTTGGTTATTATTAATATTTATTCCTGAAATGATTGCATGGACTTAATCCGTCTCGACCAAAACGCCACATGGACGAAACTTGGTTTGTCCGAACTTAAAAAAAACCAAAAGAAATCCGGCCGAATCGATTCAGATAAATCACATTTTTTTTGCTGAGTACAAGTATGTTATTTAATAAACTCTGATATGTAGAGAATTCAAATATGAATTAAAAAATGCAGACAAAAATAGTTGAGCTGGAAAAAAATTGCCAATTTTAGAATAGTTATAGTTTGGAAATTTTAGCCTACATTTTGCCATTAGAATTTTAATGTGATACAATTTGTAGTTAAATGAATAAACACAAAGGTATAACAAGGTCTAACCAGAGACTCCATGGGTTCACCAAATGAATCAAAGCTTCAGCTAGCAAAATTGAAGGAACACTATAGGGTCAGGAACACAAACATGTATTTCTGACCCACCATCTAGCCCCCCTATCTTCCCCTTGCTTTTATAAATATAGTAAAATCTTACTTTTATTCAAGTCTGCAGCTCCTGGCCCTGCCCCTGTCTGCCTCTGACCTGCCCACTGTCTGCTGACATCTTCAGAAATGGTGGTCGGAGCCAATCACAATGCTTTCCCATAGGATTGGCTGAGAGACTTCCAGGAGGCAGATCAGGGGCAGTGCCTGCACAATTTAAACACAGCCCTGGCCAATTAGCAGCTCATCATAGAGATGCTTTGAATCGATGCATCTCTATGAAGAAAGTTCAGTGTCTGCATGCAGAGGTTGGAGACACTGAATGACACTGCTGCTCACTGTGCAGCACTGCCCCAGGAAGCTCCTCTAGTAGCCATCTGAGGAGTAGCTAATGGAGGTATCCCTAGGCTGTAATGTAAACACTGCATTTTATCTGAAAAGACAGTGTTTACAGCAAAAAGCCTGAGGGAATGACTCTACTCTCCAGAACAAATGCAATTAGCTGTAGTTGTTCTGGTGACTACAGTGTCCCTTTAATGGGATTTGTAGTTAACCAACTAATGGAGATGTACGAGATATATGCTCCTGCTGTATTCTTGATCAGATATTTCTAGGATTTCCTGCCTAACAAAAAGTTAATGAGAATTGTATTTGTTAACAGCTAGAAGTCTGGTATTTCACTACCATTGCTTTACGTATTCAGGCAGAATTATATACTGTGAACAGATATAGACCACCCACACTGAATTCAGTTATCTGAATCACTGCATCTAAAATAAGCTGGATCAAAAAATAGCATTGAACAATTTTAAAAAAAACAGGGACTGTGCTGGTCTAGAGCTAAATCTTGAATCGGGAGAGAAAGACTCACCAAAAAACAAAACATTCATTATGCAAACCATGATATAAAAATTAAGGAAACAAGCTTATAAAAATATCTCAAAAATACTCTGCGCCTTAGAGAAGACAGGAGTCTACACAATCAGTTGTTACTAACGCTACATGCAACATTAATACAAATGTATCAGTCACTGGAAATATGCCAAGAGTGTTTTATCCAGTGACATATCATAGGATAGTACAGTATCCGATTAAAATACATTTTCAGTGAAATCTTATAACTCTGTAATCTGTATGACACATTTCTAGGGATAGATTTTACCATATTTCCCAATTTTTATGTTCTCTTTCAAGTCAAAATGCAGAGCCACAATCAAGTAGTCAGGCATTGACTATGGGACGGGGGGCTCTGCACACACTACAATGTACACACTACTAAAGACCCACATTTCTAAAGGAGTTATGCACTAATAAAACACAGCAAAATAGACGTAAATACATTTTTACATTTTTACTGGTTTTTGAATTTAATGCTAATAGTAATTTAATAATTCAAATTTGAAACTTTTGTAAATTTCATAGCTTTTACTGTGGACATTTGTATTTGTTGTTTTTTCACAACAAATTTGCAATATATTGTCTTTTTGGTAGATTAGGGGATGAATAAGGAGAATTAGACAGCAAATTATTGTCACTTTTGAAATTTAAATTCACTATTCATTTTTAGGACAATTTTTTTTCGATTGGGTTTTTAGTCAGACCACCAATGTGCTGACCATAGCCAATGCATTTAATATGTACAATCCCACAAGCTCAGATTTTTAACCCTTTTAATGCCATCAGTCATTCATGCACAATTTTATACAATGTAAATGAAATTAATTCATTGCAAATTAATTTTGATGGCAACAGCTGTCAGGACAGGAGAGCTGTTCCACAGTTCTAGCACCCACTCTGCTGAACCCCCTCGGATGTCCCTGCATGTCCCTGCACTGCTCATTGGGCATTCTGCACCTCTGGCTGGGAGCAGCTTTCTTCAGATGCCCTCTTCTGGTAAGCGACTGGGAGGGGCATTCAGAGGGATCAGAGGTGTGGATCTCACTAGCAGACCACCAGACCACCAGGGAATGAAGATAAGAATCCACCTTCTCTGAAAAAATGAAACAAAAATTAAACAAAAAATAAGAAGTACTGTGTGGGAGGCTGGGCAAAGAAATGCAGCCATATGTATTGGTGGTGGGGAACTTGTTCTTGTCATTGAGCTCGGACATCAGGACCTGTCTGACTATCTGGAGGTACTTGGAAATTGCTATCCTCATTTTCTCTTCCTCATGGTTGCCATGTGTTTGTGGTACCCCCAGGTATTTATATATTATATTTAAACCCACCCTCCAGTTTCATACCTTTTGCTGGAGAATGGCTTCCCTGGGATCCAGTGTAAAACACTTGAGGCTCATGGGAGTGAGGAGCCCCCATCCTCACTGCCTCCTCCTCCTTCACGTGCGGCTTCTCCTGCACACACCCGTGCAGCAGATTCTCTCTTTATGGGAGAAAGTGACTCGCGGCTGTCACTTCCTCCCATGCTGCCTGAAAAGCAACAGGCCCAGTCTCTCTCTTAAAGGGCCCACCGGGGACATTTGCCCCGCATTAAAGACGACAGTGGGTACACTGAATTTTCAACCCCTTTTATTTTTTTCTAATTTGTTTCTGAATGGAGTTTTCCGTACCTAAACTCTGCCATTGCAAGCTGTCATATGGCCAAAAATAAGCTGTCCTGAAAAAAATTATATTTTCAGGAAAAATGACTTGGTCAAACCAAATTTTCTCTCCGTGCACAATTCTGCTGTGTGAATTAAGATATAGCCACAGTGCATCATGCCTCACTCTTTCATTTGAATATTTCACCATTATGCAACTAGCATTGAAATACAGGAATAAACGTAACACATATGGTCATTTGTTTAGCATATTGCATACATAGCATGTTATTTCCAATGAAGTGATGCCACGTCATTGCGCAAGTCAGGTACATTGAGTCTAAAATGCTAAATCTAAAGTGTCAAGAAGCAGAGGAATTCTTAATTTGCCGCCAACTCACAGCATCCTCGCTGTTTATTACCTAATCCCTTTACTCTAATTCAAGAGCCGTTAGACAGTTTGCAATATTACCCAATTCATCAAATGCACAAATAAAAAAAGCAGGGCTCTCACGTGGCATTTAAAGTGTTCATATATGATAATATACTTTTTTTTTAGGGTCTTATTCACTAAAACCAGAACTGTGAAGGATTGTGGGACAGTTTAGCTGAGTTAGAAAAATGTTACATTGAAAAAGTCAAATTTACCATCTGTTCTAAAATGTTAAACTGCCCCGCAATTTCTAAATAAATACACATTTGGCATTTACAGCCCGTTAATTGTAGCTATTTCCACAGTAAAGTCATTTAGAGTGTATATCCTTATGTTTTATGACAATATTTAGATTGCATGTATATAATATATATAATAAAATCATTGAACAAGGTGCAATTTAACAGCATGGAGCCTGTGAATTAATGGGGTCTTGGTTTAACTAGCACCTTAATAACAAACAAGCAAACAAACAAACCACTCACTGTACTTGATTAGTATACTCCCAAGCAAGTACACTGACCGCAAGAGCCATTCAATTGAAGGCTGAGCTGATATCTGGCGCCCCCAGTGTCTATATGCTGCACTGTACAATGCTCTCATCGTTTCAGGACCACACAAGTGGACAGCTACCAGCGTCTTCTCCTACCTGCTGCTCAGCCAGCTTTGCTTCTGGTGGGTGGCAAGCCCCACTGCGAGGGAACAAGACCAGAAAATAAACAGCTACATTATTACCATCTCTGAGGAATCCCCTGCACACTTTCATTTAATACCCTTCTGTTTCTATCTCAGCTGATAAAGGTTTTCAGGTAATGACAATGTCTGGTGAATGGACTTCTTCTGGTGTTCAGTCCTGATGATGTGCATTCTGCCCCAATAACGAAAACTGGGGGGAGGGGGAGATTTACCACTCTTGGAAGTAGGATTTGCTTTAAATGCAGATCAGAGAGGACAAGGAATGGTTTGGGGTTTGGGGAAGGGCGAGGCTGAGATTTTAGTTACAAAGTTTCCAGAAATCAGGTGTTGGCTGGAGATCTTCCCCCTGACGTGGAGGAGTCCAGAATGACCACGTTCTCTTCACTGGAAATGTGAATCTTTTGTTCTGCTACAAGTATCACACCATCTGCTTCCTGGACTCTCTATTACCAGCGATATTCCGCAAGATTGCACACTGGTGAGTGTCTGCTTTAGGTTAAATCCACAAGGAATATCTTATTTATCCAGTGGGACATGACTAAATGTTCTGGTAAGTTTTCTGGAGGGGTATGGAGGTTAAAACTGAACAAAGGATTTGGTATAGAAATGAGGAGAAGCTTGTCCTTGCTGATTCTGACTTGAATACAGTATCAGGTTAGGAATATAAAGAGCATTGTTACTGTTAGTGTTTATAAATGGGATTTGGGGAGAAGATAAGGGCAGTCAATGTATCTCAGGGGATAATTCATTAATGAGGTCCTAGGGAGAGATCTGGGTGCTGGATTTGAACCTTTGTCACTGAGCAACACTTAGACCTCTGTCTAGCAGGTACAGTGTCTTGCAGCAGCATTACAGGTCTGCCCTGAAATTATCACTGTGAGATATGAATCCTAATATCAGCTCATGGCTATTTTGTAGCTCTGAAGGAAGCATGGCTGGGACTGATTGCTGGGATTTACCCATGGTGATAGAAGGATTTCTCTGTTATCTTCTGTACTTTAATGAATGCATCCCTGGAGTTTTAGAAAGGAGAGGAGTATCCAACAGGTTTTTAGAGCTGTGCTTCCTTTCCTGTGGTTCAAATGAGCCTGGATTTAACCCAATGTGTGCCTGGATACTCAGGCAATAGCTGATTGTCAAGTGAATGAAAATGTAAAGGTTTGCATTGGCTGGGGGGTGGGGGGTGCAGGTGGTGTGGGGGAGTGTGTGTGTGTGTGTGTGTGTGGGGGTATTTAATTTTAAGTATCTGATTCAGATGAATGAAATACCAACACAGGTTACTCACTTAGTTTAAAGTGACAATTCCACTTGTGGAGTAAGGTTTAAGTTTTGATTTAAACACCACAGATTCTGTGAGGGGCATCTACTCTCCATTCTCTCTCTTCACCAATGCACTTTAGAGTGTTAGATAGACAGTGCTATTGCTACATATGCAGCATGTAGGATTCAAAATGCTTTAACCCCTTAAGGGCTAATGATATTCCTTTCTGTCTTTGTGATCTAGTGCTTTATGACTGTATCAAGCTTGGAATGTCATATTTATTAAACGTAAGCAGATCCACAGAGCTGTGACGTCACAGAATTCTTGGGGCATTCCATTATGGAATGTGAAATTTAAAGACCTAACTGTTACGAAAGCACAGACCATCGCTGCTTCGTAAAGGGTTAACCTAGTGGTCTCTTTTTCTCTTTCAAAACCAGCGCTGCATGTATGGGCTTAATGAGTGGTGCGAATGCAGAATAGCACAGCATTGACAGTGCTCATGCTGTGTGAGGGTTAACCATACAACTTAGGGGAACTAGATATTTGTTCATTGGATGAGGTAACCAAGGCAACCTCTGGAGCAGTATCCATGTTCAATGCCAGCTGTGTCCTTTTACCTCCGTAATATGTGTCTCTCTGTGAAAAGGACTATTCGCTTCTTAAAGAAAATGTCAATCCGGAATTGTGGGGTCACTGTAAAATCCATGTAGTCGAGAAATGCTTTGCATGCCACAGCTTTACATTACGGCGTCATGCAGCGTAATGAGTGGGCTAAAAGTCTACTACTGCTTATTAAAAATACCATATTAACCCCAGCATTACTAATTGCAAGGACTACGGGTAGCCGGAAAAAAAAATCAGGCATTTTGGGGATTTAAAATAAAGAGAAAACTATTTTTTTGCATTAAAAATAAGTAGTGAGTAAAACCCATTTTAATCTAGTTTTTAATTGATTGCATAATAAAAGTTGTAAAAAATTGGGGTAATTTAAAGAGCAATTTTAGGGAAAATGTCTAAAAGTGGAGTAATGTCCGTATACATTTTATTGGTTTCCGTGGCAACTGCTCCACTTTTGCACTTTGTGACCGAATTCCCCTTCATGTATAACCCCTAATGTAATATATCAAATGACTCGCAAAAACGAAATACCACATTCTTAAACTCAACTAATAATATGTAATAGCAAACCAGAATATAGCATCTATAATGAACAATTGTTTTATTTTGAAAGAAGTCTGTCATCGCACGGTTAAACTGCTTCAGAATATAGAAGCAAACAAACCTTACATTAACCCCTTAAGGACACATAACATGTGTGACATGTCATGATTCCCTTTTATTCCAGAAGTTTGGTCCTTAAGGGGTTAAAGACCGTCTTGGGGTATATGTGTGTTTGCACTTCTTACTGTCGAAAAAGATGCACATGTATTAAGTATTTAAGTAATTCCATAGCTTGAAGTGTTATGCATTTACAAGCTCTGTGACTCCAATTTCATCGCTATTTACTGTGTACACAGGCACACCATCATGAGCACTCTCTCACTAATCTTGAATCAGCCGATAGCTTTACACTTGCCGGACATCAATAATGGATATGCTGTGCAAAGAATATACTTCATTTCCTCTGCACACAGAGAAGTTCGACTAACTTGTAAAGTTTTCGCTAGAGGTCAGTGGTGACAAATGAATATTTACACTAAATGCATAGCAACAGGTCTCCGAAGGTTCCGTATCTTGGGGCGAGTTTCTACGATTGTCGCAATCATTTACTGACACACTGTTAATTGGTAAAATGGCTCTGGGTGGCATTAACACGATACAAAACCTAACTAGTAATGACTGGTAATTAGAGGCTGCTGTTAGTTTTACCTTTTCCCACTGAGATAAATAGGAGACGCTAAATTCTAAGAAACATCTGGTTTCAAAGCTAGATTGTAAAATTGGCACCTGTCGCTGTCTGACTATAAATTGCACCTGCCTCATCAAAGTGTAAAGAGGAAAAGACAAGTTAATGACGGCAAGCTCTTAAAAGTTGGAGCTATATAAATACCAATAATAATAATAAATAAATAAGCATATTTACAGGAACACTGTACACAAACATATAATCCTAATGCTATAGTGTTTCCCTACCTATGTAGGTGTCCTCCCTCCTTACAGGGGTTTAAAAGATACATTTTACTTACCTTACATCCTGCCGAACGCCTCCCTGGATGATCTCAGGATAACGTGCATGGTTGCAAAACACCATGCTGTGCCAATCAAATGCTCTCAATGGTTATCTGTTGTAGCTGCAAAAGTGCCTTTAGTGCTTGTCTTCCTGACAGCTACTTGAAGCGTGTTAACCCTGCAACAAAAATGTTGCTGTTCCTGCAAAACTGCAATGTTTTACAATACAGGGTTAAAATGACAGGGACATAATCCCCATACCGGTTCATTGAGATGAAGTGTCATGGGGGCCTATAGAGTCCCTTTTTAAGGACTAAAGCCTAGATTTTAGTCATTTTCCCAAATAATTGTGAAATTTAGACAGGTTTATGGAAAGACTAAGGTAACTCAGAAGATCACTGGTGAAGAACATCTGCTGATCTACTGGTTCCTGGAAGAGTTGCTATGGCAATTAACTAGAAACCATGCTTTATTTCAAAATGGTTAACACTAAAGTTGTGGTTGGTATCAATGGAGGTGGTAGTAGGTTCCATGCAGATGATAAAGAGGAAGGTTGACCATGAAAATCTTTTGGTAATTGTTTGCTGCACACATCTACCACCAGATGGTATTAACAATGCTTGACAGCTTTTTTTTAATGACAAGCATTGAAACAAACTCTTTGATTTTATGGAGCCAACTTATTGTTGATATTGTTATGTTAAATTAGGTAGGGACCGATGTTTAATTCCTGATCTCGCAGGATGAAAATCAAAACATTCAGATGTTGTGGAGGAGTTATCAGCCTTTACTAAGAGTGTGACCTTTAAGTAAATGAGTATTGCTCATCTTTTACATGGGTGCATTTCACACCAACATCGTACAATGTGTCGCTGACTCCACTTCTTCCATTGTACATAACACAGTTGTGTCTGTTACAGACCAGCAGGTGAGTCAGCCTCTTCAATGACTGACATATTGAAACACCATAAAAGCAGGATTTTGGAGCTAGCTTATGGCTTACGCTCTATCTATATCTTGTTTTTTTTTCTAAGAGTCAGACATGCTAGGGAGATCTATCGAAGTACCACTAATTAATCTGCACCTTTGTGGTGATTTTCCTGGGGTGAATTATTAATTCACATGAACTTTTCCAATATTTTAGTTACATTTTTAGTATTTTCTGTCACATTTCCTTCTGCATCATGTTTTGTGTAATGAATTTAGTTTATCAATTGTTAATTTTCTTTTTGCACCAAGGTTGTTTTCTTTTCTGGCTTTTTCTTACACAGTTTACACAACATTTTGGTGTAGGAATATAGGTAAAGCACTTTGACCTCAACTTGGGAATCAAAGCCCTGAGTGCTCCTGTCACAACTGGGACTACTACTGCCTTCACTTTCCACATCCTTTCTAGTTCTTCCTTCAGTCCTTAGTATTTGTATATCTTCTCATATTCCTTCTTCCTGATGTTATGGTCACTGGGTATTGCCACATCCACCACCACTGCAATCTTCTATTCCTTGTCTACCACCACAATGTTAGGTTGGTTGGCTAATATACAGAAAGAGTGTCCCATTAAGGGACCTTTAGTGTGTCAAGGGAAGTTAGGAAGGGGGTAAACCTGAATATTGCCAAAATGTACATTAAAAGTGGCCAATAGACATAATGTCCAGAGGACCCATTAAAGTCCCTAGGATTTGTAAGAAATGTATTTAAATCTAAAACCCCTATTTATTGAAGAACATAAGTATCACATAAAAAAAACACACAATATAGCATCCCCTTAACCCCTTAAGGACACATGACATGTGTGACATGTCATGATTCCCTTTTATTCCAGAAGTTTGGTCCTTAATGGGTTAAATGGCTACACAGGTTAGTGTACTCGTCAATGCCTCAGAATAAGGCGCTTTAGCAGTGCCGAAACGCGTGTCAGGCTTTTTTATTTTTTTCAGGGCATGTTTTAGTTTGGCACTTCTTTATTATTGTGTGAGGGTTTATATAGCAATCAAAGTGGGTGGAAACTCTCTTCTATGAGGACTATTTGGGGCATTTTCTGCATACAGTATGGATAGAACTTTCTCTAATGGCATGAAGCTTTCATTGTTGTAGTCTACATTCTGGCTAACCTAGCTAGCGACCAAGACATTTGTTGGTATAATAGGTTAGCCTGGCTAGTTGGGGCATTTCTTTCATGACAGCATCAAAGGATAGACTGGGTGGTCTTTATACCTTTGCAAGCCTTCAATCAATTTTTTTAGATACCGACCCTGAAGTCGAATTTTTCATAATTAGTTTAGTGAAGGCTTCTCTGTGTATGCCATTGTCTCTCCTTTAGCCTCTCAGATTTTCTGCACAATATTGGTCCAGCATTTTTGGTTACAGTATCTTACAAGCTTATCAGTGTTCAGCATTATAGGCTTTATGTGCTAGCAGTAGGAGGGAACATTGTTCAAGTTCTGCTTGTAACATTATCCCACTAGTTTATCTTTGTTCTGTTTTATAGGCTAACTTTATCACTTTTTGAGACATAGATCTCCTGTTGGTTGGCGAGGCTTATGCCACATAGGCTTTCATATTATAGCTACCTTCCTACTATAGTCCAATAGCTTCCTTTATTCTGCTACCCCACTCACCCACTAGGTTTGCTGAGCTAATTATCTCCCCTTATGATACTTATGTTGTTTAATAAATAGTGGTTGTAATTGTAAATATATTTTTCTTTTAAATCCTAAGGACATTAATGTGTCCTCTGGACTTTATGTCCATTGGCCACTTTTAATATGCATGGTTGGCTAATACACTTGCTTGTCTGTCTGGATCTGAATGTTCCATAGGACTTGCCATTTTCAACTGTCCATTTGTTTGTGGTATCTCCCATCTCCAGCCCATATAATGTGCAGATATTTCAGTGCACAATCCCAGTAACTCTACTATATCTTGTCCCTGCTAACATCTTGTACCCAGCTACTATCGGCTGGATTGTCTCAGAGGCCTCTTTGCACAGTCTGTACTTTGGGTCTTGTATGTTGTGGTAGACCCCTATTTCTATTGATCTGGTGTTGAGGGCCTGTTTATGTGCTAGTAGGATTAGTGTCTTAGTACTGTCTTTCAGTCCTGCATTTCCCAACCACTGGTATTATTTTGTAATGTGAGACACAAACTATCTGCTGGTGGTACACCCCATTGAGAGGATTGTCTTGCCATGGAACCTCTACCTTTTCTGCATTCTCTATCTGTTGTCTCATGAATTCCCTTAGCAGTTGATCTTTCGGAGCCATCAATGTACTTCTGAATCCAGGACTGTAGCTTTGACACTCATCAGACCACAACCTCAATCCTTCTGGCTGGTGTACAGTCTCTGAGTGCTGGATTTCAGGTTGAATCCTCCATTTATAGTGAGAAGTGTTTGGATCTTGACATCCATGGATACCAACTTTTCTCTTGGCCAGGTTATTATTCCAGTTGGATACTAGATGACTGGTAGGGCATATGACTTGATGGCTTGGATCTTGGTCTTGAGATGGGACTTCAGGACCTGTCTAACTCTTTGGAGTTACTTAAATGTTGTGTCTGTCTATCTATCTATCTATCTATCTAGCTAGCTACACCTATATCTATAGCTCTCCCTCACCAAAGAATCTGGGTCCACTTCCATGCACTGTAATAAAATCCCCTGCTATTCCAACCCTAATCAGGAGAGATGCAGAGTGTGTGTGATATCAGCAGCAAATCAGAGTTTGTGATTTGCATAGTATATTTTCCAGCTTCCCACTTTGCAGAAAATAAAAAGTTTTTTTGAATTTCCAGATGATACTGTGTGCCAAAATGCTCAAGGAGAAGCAAATATTAGTCCGGAATTTTAAAACAAACTGCTGTACAGTTAAATGTAATTTTTAAAGTGCAATTAATTTCACACACACAATTTCTTATGAAATTTATACTTTATTACTCATCCTTACAGACATTTAATTCTCATTTAAAGGGATACTGTAGTGACAGGAATACAAAGCTGTATTCCTGGCACTACCGATCCCTCTGCCTCCCCCCTCCCTCTCGCCCCACATCCCCTGTAAATAAAGGGTTAAAAAGCCTTTATTTACTTACCGTATCCCAGCACTGATGTCCATTGGCGCTGGGTCGATCTCCGCCCATTCCGACATCCTGCGACAAGCGGGGTCTTATGCGCATGCGCGGAAAATGCTGCACGCGAATTCCACCTCCCTATAGGAAAGCAATGAATCAATCCTTTCCTATGGGGGAAAATCTGACGTTGAAGGTCCTCATGCAGAGCGTGAGGTTGTCCAGTGTCAGTTAAAGGACCAAAAGTCTGTTTCGATTACGAAAGCCCTGTAGTGGCAGTCTGTTAGACAGTCACTGAGGGCAGAGTTAGAGCTGCAATGTAAACATTGAGTTCCTCTGGAACTGCAATGTTTTACATTGCAGCACTAAGTGCAATGTGGACACAGCACCCATACTATTTCAATTAGCTGAAGTGGTCTGGGTGCCTACAGTGTCCCTTTAATGTAAAGCTCAACTAAAGGTAAATTAGACAGAATATATATTTTCTCACTACAGATATAGTGTGGGGTTTCTACAATGTTAAAATGTCTTTTAAAATGGATAGAACATGGTTTAAACATAACTTTTATTATAATTTGAAGATATTCACTAACAGAGATAATGATGTGAAAAAGCTGGCACTAGAGAAATAATTGAACTTGGTGGAACACACAGTGCTTGATACGTGAAGGTGTGTGATTAGATTGTGCACTTATAACCACACAATGATAGGGAAAACAGTACAATCTGTTAAATACTGTAAATCAAACAAGAACAGAGACTGCCTGCAGACAGTCCTATAATTCTCAAGAGCATTTTATAATTCAGTTTGCTGATTTTTCAGTCTTAGATTAGGACTTCTCCATGTGGTCCAGCTCTGGACCATAGTAAGTGCCACATTTTACAAATGACAGACGTCAAAGTTCCACTCCCCGTTGGCTGTTTTTAAGTGTTTTATACTTTTAGTAAAACATTTCTTATCTCTTTTAGTAAATTTCTTTATCGCCTTGAGGAAAAGGCTCATTGTTTTTAATATTTTAATATATTATAATTAAGGTCACATTGTAATCATGCTATGGTCCTAGGATGCCCCATTCTGTTCTACCAGGGATTTAAAAACCCAGACATATACCAGGACATGAGGATTTGGAAACTGACTTCGATATTTATGATTACATAGTATTTAATAACGTAGATTAGTTATCGTACTCATTTCTGTTTGAGCTATTGATCTACTGTGAGTTATCAGTAATGTTAATTTTAGTGAGATTTTTTGCTTGTCAGATGGAGAGGAGCAGTGGAGTGCTGGGGCACAGTCTGCCCTGAATGGCAGCAGGGAGGATGGTGGTCTGGAGAAAACGGTAATCTCATGATGAGCCAAACAAGAGCCTAGAGCAGCCCAGTGGGACAGCGTAGAGTAACGACCTACATGAATGGAGGGTCGGTGTTCAAAATCACATCCAACCCCCTCTCCTAACTCAGAGGCACTATTGGAAGGGAGCCACACATGGGGAGTAGGGGGATAACCATGAATAGGGTAGACAAAAATGAGTGAGAGATGGGGAGAAAGAGAAGTAGTGGGAAGTGGGAGAGCAATATTCACACTCATATATGACATAAGTAAGAGAGCACAGAAAAGAGTTAAACGTGATTTGCTCATGACTAAAAGCTCACACCAGCTCTGCACAACTGAATTATCCAACACCCTGTACAAATATTCCTCACTGTCAATGAGGAAGTGAAATTTCCTCTGTATGGTGTCCCAAGCAGTGGGATGTGGTTTGGTCTCTGATTTTTTTTTTTAAACCCTCTAAGAAATATTTTGAGGGCCCCAATTTATAAATGGCATTACTGAACTGATTCCCATAGGAAGCCTTCCCTAATCTGTGTATAAATGGATTTTTAGGGTTTGTACAGCTCTATGCATGTGTATCGCAAACAAAAGGAAATTACCCCCCGCCCTCCCCACCCCACCTTCCCAGGCCCAGATATATTGAAAATGTTGTTCTTAATTAGGATCAGTAAACTCACAGCACTGCGTTTGCATAGTCTCTCTATAACCACTATAGTAATGAAACTAGTTATACTGCCTAGAGTTTCTTCTTTAGATTTTAACAGCGGTAGGGTGAACCAACCAACATCTCCCCCTAGTGGCCGCCTGCACCCTGTTCTTTGTACTCCTCTCAACGTGGGCAACATGCTTAAAAGCAGTACAGAATCCTTATCCTAACACTACAAGGCTTAAATAACGCTGTTTATTTCCTAGCCACTCATATGTGTGTCACCACAAAGCTTTTTGTTTACTGCTTTTTTGTCAAAAGGACTAGAAGTTAATCACACATTGTGTCAAGTTTTTATCTTCCCACTCAAAAGCTTCCATCTTTTCAAAACCTAAGTGTGGCTTAATCATAATAATTACCTACCCATGCAAAACCTTAATTCCCCAAGCTTTACAACACCTTCAATGCTGTTAAATGTAGTATTTTCTTTTTTTCTAGGGGGTATAGAATGCACGATAGTTTGAAAATGTGCTTTTCCTCTTTTCTCTACAGTGTACTATGTTTAGAAAGAGAGGTTAATTGTTAAAATACTGCTAGGATGTCTGATTTCTAAATGTAATCTAAACATTAAATCCAAAGTCTTATCTATTCAGAGTATAATGATTAAAGTGAATTTAATAGTTACATGTTGACAAGCTAACTGTTTGCTGCGTAAGTGAGAATTTTCCAAGTATTCAGCACCCAAGCAGTCAGCACAATGCGGGTTGGGAGTCCTATTTATAAACTTTTGGGTAATTGGATTTGTCACACTATAAAGTTCTAGTGATAACATATATATACAGTGAGGGAAAAAAGTATTTGATCCCCTGCTGATTTTGAACTCTTGCCCAAAGAAATGATCAGTCAGAATAACAAAAATAAAATCCAGAAAAATGCATGTCAAAAAAGTTATAAATTGATTTGCATGTCAATGAGTGAAATAAGTATTTGACCCCTTCCACTTAGTACTTGGTGGCTAGACCCTTGTTGGCAATCACCAAGTTCAGATGTTTCTTGTAGTTGGTCACCAGGTTTGCACACATCTCAGGAGGGATTTTGTCCCACTCCTCTTTGCAGATCCTCTCCAAGTCATTAAGGTTTCGAGGCTGACGTTCTTCTTGAGCCACTCCTTTGTTGCATTGGCTGGGTGTTTTGGGTCATTGTCATGCTGGAATACCCATCTATGACCCATTTTCAATGCCCTGGCTGAGGGAAGGAGGTTCTCACCCAATATTTGACGGTACATGGCCCCGTCCATCGTCTCTTTGATGTGGTGCAGTTGTCCTGTTCCCTCAGCAGAAAAACATCCTCAAAGTATAATGTTTCCACCTCCATGTTTGGCAGTGTGGATGGTGTTCTTTTGGTCATAGGCAGCATTCCTCCTCCTCCAAACATGGTGAGTTGAGTTAATGCCAAAGAGCTCCATTTTAGTCTCATCTCACCACAACACTTTCACCCAGTTCTCCTCTGAATCATTCAGATGTTCATTGGCAAGCTTCAGACGGGCCTGTACATGTGCTTTCTTAAGCAGGGGGGCCTTGTGGGCGCTGCAGGATTTCAGTCCTTCATGGCGTAATGTGTTACCAATTGTTCTCTTGGTAACTATGGTCACAGCTGCCTTGAGATCATTAACAATATAGAATGTGACAGCATTTGGCCCATCTAGTCTGCCCAACAAGATCATCTTGTGTTGTTCTGGGCTGATTCCTCACTGTTCTCATGATCACTGAAACTCCACGAGGTGAGATCTTGCATGGGGTACCAGGCCATGGGAGACTGACATTTATTTGTGTTTCTTCCATTTGCAAATAATCACACCAACTGTTGTCTACTTCTCACCAAGCTGCTTGGTTTTGTAGCCCATTCCAGCCTTGTGTAGGTCTACAATCTTGTCCCAGACATCCTTGGACAGCTCTTGATTGATTGCTTCTGTGGACAGGTGTCTTTTATACAGGTAATGAGCTGAGATTAGGAGACCTTCCTTTAAGAGAGTGCTCCTAATCTCAGCTTGTTACCTGCATAAAAGATACCTGGGATTCAGAAATAGGGGATCAAATACTTATTTCACTCATTGACATATATATCAATTTATAATTTTTTTGACGTGTGTTTTTATAGATTTTTTATTTTTTGTTATTCTGTTTCTCACTGTTAAAATACACCTACCATTAAAATTATAGACTAATCATTTTTTTTGTCAGTGGGCAAATGTTCAAAATCAGCAGGGGATCAAATATTTTCTTCCCTCACTGTATAAAGACAAAAGGCATAAACTAATGTTCAACCTATTATTCCATAATGCACGGCGAGTGTGGTGTTTAGAGTCTTTGGTAGCACTCCAAATTAAAGGAGCTGCATAGGTAAAAATGCATGTCCTTGCAATTTGCATCACTTAACACATGCTCACAATGACTGCTCTAGAACTACTCAACCTAAGTTACACTACAAATACAGCATTCATACGCTAGAAATTACAAGCCATATTACACCATATTATCTATCACTCATCAGCTAGCTGTACTGCATCTGGTTGGCTGACAGGAGCTGGAGAAGAAATGGTTACCAGTGGGTAGTGAGGTTGGCTGACAGGGGCTGGAGTGGGGGGTTAACAGTGGGTAGAGAGGTTAGCTCACATGGGGCTGGACGCGAAGGGATTAACAGTGTGTTGAGAGGTTGACTGACATGGGCTGGAGAGGAATGGGTTAACAGTGGGTAGTGAGGTTGGCTGACAGGAGCTGGAGTGGAGGGGTTAACAGTGGGTAGAGAGGTTAGCTGACAGGAGCTGGATGGGAAGGGGTTAACAGAGAGTAGAGAGGTTGATTGACATGGGCTAGAGAGGAAGTGGTGAAAAGTGGGTAGTGAGGTTGGCTGTTACTTGCATTACAGGGAGGGAGAGAGAGGAGTACATATAAGATGGTTAAGAAGGGGGGGAGAGAATCAAAGAAAGGAGGAAGAGAAGCAGAACAGATTTAGGCTACATCAAAGTTATGAAATAAAAGAAACTAAGGAAAACAGGCATTCTGTGAATAGCTCTAGCCTTGTCTCTCTATTTTCTTTGACTAAAAAAAGGTACGTTTCTTTCCGAGACTGGGAATCAGGAACATGTTGAAAGGAGAGAGGGGGATGGCTAATGAGGGTGGGTTACACTACAGAAAACAGCTAAATATTTTATAGCTCTGCAGGAAAACTACACAGAATTGAAAGAAAAGTAACTAACCACAGGTATTTGAGCTTACTAGCTTTAATTTTAGCTTAACTTGTTCAACTGTCTGGAGTATTTCTTTAGCATGGGTTAGTGCTTGAAACTGGACTGGCCTTAGGTTATCGACAAATTTATAATAATTCTAGACAGAGATTCACAATAATAAACTTTGCTTAATAATTATTAGACTGTGAGATTTGTTTCTGGCCGAACTGCAGTTCATTTTGGGTTGATCAGATGATTGGTCAAATTCCTGACCTCTGAGCGCAGATGTACAAAAATCATGCACCACCTGAAGAGTGCAATCCCGAACATGTTCAGTTCAGAGTGGTGATTCTGGACTCCACCCATGGCATAAAAAAAGATGGGAAAAAAAAAGATGATTGGTGGCTAGAGGACAACAAAAAATCAACTAAATCTAAATGTTGATTTTGAGCAATGGAGGGTATAAAAGGAGGTGCAGTAAATGTATTTATATATATTTTTATATAAATATAGGTTTTATTTTATGCACCTCCTGCTTTTCCTTCTATTGATTACTTTTCCCATTTGATCTGTGAACCAAATGGTGGGAAAATGCTCCTATCAGTGCGCTGCTAAATATATACAAAATATTACATTGTATATATTAAAATACATATTTATTTATTCTATACTTTGCATAACACTGACTGGACTATTTTCATGCAGTTTTTATCTTCCAAAATTCTGCCGAGCCAAATACACATTCATCTGAAATTTGGTTCTGCCGAAAAATGTTAACATTTTTGGAAAAAATTGTTTGCTCACAGTTCATTTGTTAAGTTACATGTGCCAGTTCTCTCCCAGTTTCGTCTAATGCGTCATGAGCTGCTGTTGGTTTTAGTAAAATGAGTTTTGCAGTTTTCGGTCTGCAATGTATCTGCCCACCCGTTATGGGAAAAGGATCTTTCATCCATTAATCCTGCTCCAAACCTAGTTACTGGTATGGGAACAATGGGACATTGCTTCTACCTTATGCTCTCTAGACGTGTATCCCAGCCATCAACAACACCTACACCTAATATAGAGCTTTCTGACACACTAAGGGAATTCACAATTCAATACATTATCATAAACTAAAAACAGAGTTGAAAAATTAAAAGTTTGCAATTATTTTTCAACTTTCTTTATTTCAACCTAAAGTTTGCAATATGTTGTCGATGTTTTATCATCACATTTAAGTAAAAAAGTCTAATGCTGATATGAGTGACTTCTAAATTGCGCTCTGCCTTTGCTGGTCCACCCACTACATTGCACTGTGATTGAGACTAAGGTCCAGCTGCAATTTATAAATAATCAGATGACCAAAGTATGGAAATTATTTTTTAGCTACAAAAAGGCTTCAAATAATGATAGAACAGCAATATGTTTAAACTGCATCCAGCATTAACTATTAACCACTACAATTTAGTCCATATCGTTAACATGTATTGAAGCCCATACATGATTCTACTTTCCTTTAATGATCTCCTACTCGACCACAGTGACTACATTTAAAAATTATTTTTTATAAAGATTAACTAGTGATGAAGGAAATTCAAGTGTGGACTGTTTGACTTTAATTAATGACTATTTGTAGCCTGTTCTACACTGCTCAAAAAAATAAAGGGAACACTTAAACAACACAATGTAACTCCAAGTCAATCACACTTTGTGAAATCAAACTGTCCACATACGAAACACTGAGTGACAATCAATTTCACATGCTGTTGTGCAAATGGGATAGACAGCAGGTGGAAATTATAGGCAATTAGCAAGACACCCCCAATAAAGGAGTGGTTCTGCAGGTGGTGACCACAGACCACTTCTCAGTTCCTATGCTTCCTGGCTGATGTTTTGGTCACTTTTGAATGCTGGTGGTGCTTTCACTCTAGTTTAAATGGACTCATCACCTTTATAACATCACTCCCATACTCTTAAATCTTAATTTTGAAAAGTGATTTTAAAAATTGTCTCTGATTGGCCAATTACACTTTTGGCGCAATTTTCAAATGAACATAGCCCTATTTAAACAACCCCTGCCAGGTTACTACTTTTATCCCATTCTGAAGAAGCCAATTATGGTGAAACGCGTTTATGGTTATTAATTCTGTATTTTACTGTGTATTTTAGATCAATAAAAGTTTTTTGGCTACTTTATTGTACCAATCCTCTTTTTATTGCACTCTTTATGCACTTTAAACAACTTTTTTTACCTATTCCTGGCATTTTAACCTTTCCTGGTTACTTTTACTTCCACTGGCAATTTTAAAGTTCCAGTACTCCAAGAAATCCTAGGTGGGGATCATACCACTGGCGCCTATCCATAGAGCAGTACCTCTGCTCTATCTTTGTGAGTATTATTTTTATTTTCTCTACTACTCTCTTAACCTATCACAATTGAGAGCACTATTGCTGCTTTTTATTCTTCTATATTGGAGCCTTGGATCACCAGACATATCCTATAAGCGGGGATTATACCGCTGTACGCTATCCACACCAGAGCTGGCCATAGCTCCCTCAAATGTGAGTTTTTTACCTCTTCTTATCTGCACATTGAACCACATCAAAATTGAGAGCACTATTGTTGCTTTCTGTCTTTCTTTTCCGAGTTCTGGACTACCAGACGGTGTTGACGGAGACCCCCTCCCTACATATCCCATAAGCGGGGATTATACCGCTGTACGCAATCCACACCAGAGCTGGCCATAGCTCTCTTGAATGTGAGTTCTTTACTTTTTGTTACCTATCACACCCTGAACTTTCATACTATACCATTAGTCGCCTCTACCTCTCTTGTATTTACATATATGGAACGGTCTACACTAGACGCATCCACAGAGGAACTCTATCAAGTATCCTAGACCATCTATTGGCACCCTAGCAATACTTTACTGGACTATCTACCCTTATTTGGCGCAGCCCTTCCATATCTTTTTGCACAAATGTGCATGTGTCTGCTCAAACAGTCAGAAACAGACTCCATGAGGGTGGTATGAGGGCCCGATGTCCACAGGTGGAGGTTGTGCTTACAGCCCAACACCATGCAGGACGCTTGGCATTTGCCAGAGAACACCAAGATTGGCAAAGATTGGCAAATTCGCCACTGGCGCCCTGTGCTCTTCACAGATGAAAGCAGGTTCACACTGAGCACATGCGACAGACATCGTCTGGAGACACCGTGGAGAATGTTCTGCTGCCTGCAACATCCTCCAGCATGACCGGTTTGACAGTGGGTCAGTAATGGTGTGGGGTGGCATTTCTTTGGGGGGCCGCACAGCCCTCCATGTGCTCGAGGTACCGAGATGAGATCCTCAGACCCCCTGTGAGACCATATGCTGGTGCGGTTGGCCCTGGGTTCCTCCTAATTCAAGACAATGCTAGACCTCATGTGGCTGGAGCAGGGGCGGACTGAGAACCCTCAGGGCCCCCGGGCAAAATAAATCAAGGGCCCCCTTACAGGCCCCACCCATACTCTGCAGCAAGCGCCACCCTTGTCCCGCCTCCATGCACCGCCTCCAGCCACACACTACACAATCTTTAGACACAAGGAACAAAAGGGCAATAAGCCCTTCGAGGCCCCAGTAGAGACTACAATTGAGGGCTAATGGGCCATGGAGGGGGGTCTTTCTAGCGGAGGCTATCTCAGTGTCCTTTAGAGAGTGTGTTAGATAGAATCCCCTCCAAGCCCCATTAGAGACTACAATGGAGTCTAAAAGGCTTGGAAGGGGGTCTTTCTAACAGAGGCCATCTCAGCGTCCATTAGATATCCCCTGCTGGAAACAGTCGCCTCCAGGCCCCAGTACAAACTACAATTGAGGGCTAATGGGCCATGGAGGGGATTTCTAGCAGAGGCTAGAGTCTAATGGGGCCTGGAGGGTGGTCTCTCCAACACTCTGGTTCCTATTCACAATATAGCAACACAACATAGCTCGCTGATACCTGAGCCAAGTTGGCTCCTCTTACCTTAATTACTGTTGCTGGCTGGCAGTCTGTGGGCTTGCTGGCTGCGGCTGGCAGGCTGTGGGCTTGCTGGCTACTGCCGGCAGGCTGTGGGCTTGCTGACTGCGGCTGGCAGGCTGCGGCTGGCAGACTGTGGCTTGCTGGCTGTAAGCCTGTGGCTTGCTGTAGGCCTGTGGGCTGGCTACTGGCCTGTGGGCTGGCTAACTGGCTGGCTACTGGCCAGCCTGTGGGTTGGCTGGCTGGCTACTGGGGCATTTGTAGATTATTTAAAGAAATAATCCATGCACAATAACCACTACTGCTCCAGAGTAAGTAGTCAAACCGTTTAAGAACAGTTTGACAACTTACCTGGGGTCTGCTGGGATATGAGGCTGTAGTAGGGAATAGGAGCAGTGGTGCAATGTGTGTGAAAGGTTCAGTGTGTGTGTGGGGGTGTAGTGTGTGTGGGGGTGTAGTGTGTGAATGTGTAGGGTGTGTGGGCAGTGTATGTGTGTGGCAATGTTAGTATGGGGGGCTGTGTATGGGGGTCTGTGTGTATATGGGTGGGCAGTGTATGTGTGTGTGTGAGGCAATGTGTGTAAATGTGTATGGTGTGTATGGGGTGTGTGTGGGGGCAGTGTGTTTATGGGGCTAGAGTTCACTCTCACCACTGCGACCACCAGGAATCCATGGGGGTTACAGTGTTGAGAGTGAACTCTAGCCCGTAGCTCCAGGGCTAGAGTTGACTCTCGCAAGAGCAGTAACATTGCCATGGTAACCGCGGCAACGCTCTGTGCTCGCGCAAGAAGGACCCAGAGGAGCTGAAGGTGAGCTCCCAGGTCCTCTCTTCCTCCCCTGCCCGCACGGTGCCTACGGACAGGGGAGGGGGGGGCATTCTTCCCTCTCTTTCTCCCCCCTCCCCCAACTCTCTATTCCCCCTCTTTCTCCCCGTGTCTCATTCTTCCCTCTCTGTCTCTTTCTCCCCCTCCCCATCTCTCTATTCCCCTCTTTCTCCCCGTGTCTCATTCTTCCCTCTCTGTCTCCCCCCTCCTCATCTCTCTATTCCCCCTGTGTCTCATTCTTCCCTCTCTGTCTCTTTCTCCCCCTCCCCATCTCTCTATTCCCCCTCTTTCTCCCCGTGTCTCATTCTTCCCTCTCTGTCTCCCCCTGTGTCTCATTCTTCCCTCTCTTTCTCCCCATCTCTTTATTGCCCCCCCTTTCTCCCCCTTTCCCATCTCTATGTCCCCTCTCTTTCTCCCCCCTCCCCATCTCTCCCCTCTCTTTCTCCCCCCTCCCCATCTCTCCCCTCTCTTTCTCCCCCCTCCCCATCTCTCCCCCCTCTTACTAGTCAGAGGGGGCTGGCCGTTTCATTTTAGAGCCGCCGGACCGGGTGGCAGCCTCGCCGGTCCGGCGGCATTCCGCTCACTAACACTGAAGAAGAAGGAGGAGGAGGAGCATGTGTCTGTCATGCTCCTTTGCGGTTCCCACATCCTGTGCTGGGAATTGTGGGAACCGCAGGGAGCATGACCGAGAGACATGCTCCTCCTCCAGTGTTAGTGAGAGGAATGCCGCCGGACCGGCGAGGCTGCCACCCGGTCCGGCGGCTGCAGCATGAAACGGCCGGCCCCCCCTCACAGTGTGCCACCGGACCGGCCACCCGGTGGCACCTGCAGTCCCCAAATGCCGCCCCCAATCCAGCCCTGCCGCCGGGCCCCCTGAAGGCGGCCCTGGCGGCGGGCCCCCCTCCCGGCCGGGCCCTCGGACCGTGTCCGAAGTGCCCGACCGGTCAGTCCGCCCCTGGGCTGGAGTGTGTCAGCAGTTCCTGCAAGATGAAGGCATTGATGCTATGGACTGGCCAGGCCTTTCCCCAGACCTGAACCCAACTGAGCACATCTGGGACATCATGTCTCGTTCCATCCACCAACGTCACGTTGCACCACAGACAGTCCAGGAGTTGGCAGATGCTTTAGTCCAGGTATGGGAGGAGATCCCTCAGGAGACCATCCGCCACCTCATCAGGAGCAAGCTCAGGCATTGTAGGGAGGTCATACAGGCAAGTGGAGGCCACACACACAACTGAACCTCATTTTGACTTGTTTTAAAGACATTACATCAACGTTGGATCAGCCTGTAGTGTGTTTTTCCACTTTAATTTTGAGTGTGACTCCAAATCCAGACCTCCATGGGTTGAAAAATTTAATTTCCATTTTTTTATTTTTGTGTGATTTTGTTGTCAGCACATTCAACTATGTAAAGAAAAAAGTATTTAAGAAGAATATTTAATTCATTCAGGTCTAGGATGTGTTATTTTTGTGTTCCCTTTATTTTTTTGAGCAGTGTATATTCATTATTACGTTAACACAATTAAGGGATTTAGGAGTTTGAGGATAATAGTAACTGATCAGCAGTAATATAGCCGGTCACAATATCAGTAATCACTGCTGTTTTCAGACACATGAGACATTTTGAGGTCCATCAGGAAGGTTCCATATCTTCATTCTAAGAGTTTCACTGAAAGTTCCATATAAGTATTTTCTGAAATACAATAAGCGCAGTGACCCGCTAGTTTGCCAACTGATAAACCTGAAATTGTGACATTTGAAACAATATGACTTTTGATAAACTAAATGTTTTTCTGATACCCTTATGTGTAATTTTAGGTGGTGTATAGTACTATGGATTCACCTAACAGGGAATTGTGGAGAACTGATAAGGACAATGGCAATTGTGTGCGAAAATAGCCAAAATAGAAAAAGTCTCCTATTTTTCAAGTTTGGCAATTTTTAAAAAAAATGACAATTCACTTCTGAATTCTCTATAATCCCCAGCTTAATGATTACCTTCATAAGTCATTGTTAGTCCAATGAATAACTACACTGCTGAAATAAAAACTTAGAAACATAGAAACATAGAATGTGACGGCAGATAAGAACCATTCGGCCCATCTAGTCTGCCCAATTTACTAAATACTTTCATTAGTCCCTGGCCTTATCTTATAGTTAGGATAGCCTCATGCCTATCCCATGCATGCTTAAACTCCTTTACTGTGTTAACCTCTACCACTTCAGCTGGAAGGCTATTCCATGCATCCACTACCCTCTCAGTAAAGTAATACTTCCTGATATTATTTTTAAACCTTTGTCCCTCTAATTTAAGACTATGTCCTCTTGTTGTGGTAGTTTTTCTTCTTTTAAATATAGTCTCCTCCTTTACTGTGTTGATTCCCTTTATATATTTAAATGTTTCTATCATATCCCCCCTGTCTCGTCTTTCCTCCAAGCTATACATGTTAAGATCCTTTAACCTTTCCTGGTAAGTTTTATCCCGCAATCCATGAACCAGTTTAGTAGCCCTTCTCTGAACTCTCTCCAAAGTATTAATATCCTTCTGGAGATACGGTCTCCAGTTCTGCGTACAATACTCCAAGTGAGGTCTCACCATATCACAAAATATTAAGAAAATATCAAAAAGTTGCTTTTTTATTACTTTGCTGCCACCTTAATATAATGTGCTTGGTGTATGTATTAAACATGTCATAGAGTACAAGCATGGCCTAGACTAGAGGGACTCTATTTGAGTGACAACAACTTTAGCTAGATCAAGCAGTTTTGGTGTGTAGATCATGCCCCTGCAGTCTGCAGCCTCAATTTTCTGCCATATAGGAGTTAAATTACTTTGTTTATGCAGAGGTAATTAGAGCAGTAGATAAAAACGTCTAAAACAAGTTAACATAAAAGTGAAACCATTTGTGTCAGTCACAGCCAGGTGAGGTTTGGTGAGGGCTGCATGGACATAAGTAAATGTGATTTAACTTCAAAATGCTAGTTGAGCAGTGAGACTGCAGGGACATGATCTATACACGTAACTGTTCTAATGCCTATAGTATCCCTTTAAGTATATCAGACTGTTGTGTTTGATGTCTACACGTCTTCCACGAGCAATACATTTGTTTTTATTTTCCAAAATCCCATAAGTATATAGCTAACAAAGTATACAGTAGGAGGATGCAATATAAATGCTCACAATGTAAATAATTAGCCCATTTATCCTCTTTTTGATTGAAATCCTCCAGGAAATGTACGCTCTACAAAACAGATTTTGCACTGTATTCTAGATAGAGATTGCCATACCCTAAATTCCCTTTGTAAGCACACTGTTTAATTCTTAGGGATACCTATATTGTAGGGCTGGTGAGATAGCAAGAGTATACAGAATACCAGTAACCATTAGGCATGTGCATGGGGAAAATTTTTGGTTTGGTTAGGCATTCCAAAATTCGTGACTTTCGCAATTCGTGACTTCGGCAATTCGGCACTTCAACACTTCTGAACTACGGCAACTTCAGAACTTCGGCACTTCGGCACTTCGACACTTCGGAACTTCGGAATTTCGGGACTTCGGCACTTCGAGACTTCTATTGCAGCTGCTTAGTAGATAACTCCCTAATTCCCACGGTATTAGGGAGTTATCTACCAAAAGGCTGAAAGACCTAAATTGGTCTTTCAGCCAAATTTACTAATACTAAATAAAAATTACTTAGTATTAGTAAATTTTGCCCCTACTCGCTATACCACGAGTAGGGGCATATCTAGCAAACAGTGAGCAGTCTGTGGCTGCTCACTGTAAAAAAAAAAGCAGCGGGTGGGGGCCCTAAAGTAAAATGATGGGGGGACCTATTGTCCTTCCCCCCGGCCCCTACCCATGAGCGGCGGGTGGGGGCCCTAAATTGGAATAAGGGGGGGACCTAATGTGGGTGGGGCCCTAAATACTAATAAGGGGGGGACCTAATGTCCTCCCCCCTGGTCCCCACCCCTGAGCGAAGGGTGGGGGCCCTAAATTGGAATAAGGGGGAGACCTAATGTCCTCCCCCCTGGCCCCCAACCCTGAGTGGCGGGTGGGGGCCCTAAAGTAAAATGATGGGGGGGACCTATTGTTCTCCCCCCCGGCCCCCACCCCTGAGCGGTGGGTGGGGGCCCTAAATACTGATAAGGGGGGGACCTAATGTCCTCCCCCTTGGCCCCCACCCCTGAGCAGTGGGAAGGGGCCCTAAATACTAATAAGGGGGGGGACCTATTGTCCTCCCCGCTGGCCCCCACCCCTGAGCGGCGGGTGGGGTCCCAAAAAAAATGTCCCCCCCAGGTGACTAGGGGTCCCTAAACCCCTAGTCACCCCCTCCCCCCCAAAAAAAATGATCCCCCTACCTACCCCCCTCACACTAAAAATAATGAGGGGGGGACCTTTAACTAAGTACCTGTAAAAAAAAAAAAAACTTACCATTCAATGTTTTCTTTCTTCTAAAATCTTCTTTTTTCATGCCCAAAAAAGGCCAAATAAAAAACCATAATAACCGACGCAATAAAAAAAAAAAAAAAATCCATCTTCACCCAGCGCAGACTGAGCTTTGCAGGGCGAATGAAGACTTATAAAGCTTTGCCCCGCCCTGCAATTAGCTCAGAGCACTCTGATTGGTGGGTCTAAGCCATCCAATCAGAGTGCTCTGACAGGTAAATGAAGAGACTGACAGGTAAATTCTTTGGAATTTTCCCACGCTGTGTAATTTGACTCATAACTCTCTGATTGGTTACTTAATCCACCAATCAGAGAGTTATGAGTCAAATTACACAGTGTGGGAAAATTCCAACGAACTTTCCCACGCTGTGTAAAATGACACAGAGCACTCTGATTGGTGGATTTCAAACCAACCAATCAGAGTGCTGTGAAAGGTAAATGTAGAGACTTACCTGTCAGTCTCTTCATTTACCTGTCAGAGCACTCTGATTGGATGGCTTAAACCCACCAATCAGAGTGCTCTGAGCCTAATTGCAGGGCGGGGCAAGGCTTTATAAGCCTTTCCCCGCCCTGCAGAGCTCAGTCTGCGCGGAGCCCTTGACGGGATTATTTTTTTTTGCGCTCGTTTTTTTTATTTTATTGCGTCGGTTATTATGTTTTTTATTAGGGCCCCCACCCGCTGCTCAGGGGTGGGGGGTGGGGGGGGAGAACAATAGGTCCTCCCTTATTAGTATTTAGGGCCTTCACCCGCCGCTCAGGGGTGGGGGCCAGGGGGAGGACATTAGGTCCCCCCCTTATTATAATTTAGGGCCCCCACCCACCGCTCAGGGGTGGGGGCCAGGGGGGAGGACATTAGGTCCCCCTCCTATTCTGATTTAGGGCCCCCGACCGCCGCTCAGGGGTGGGGGCCAGGGGGGGCATTTTTTTACATTAGGTCCCCCCCCTTATTATAATTTAGGGCCCCCACCCAACACTCAGGGGTGGGAACCGGGGGAGGCAATAGGTCCCCCCTTTAGTTTAAAGGGAGGGAGGAGCTTTTTTTTTTTTTTACAGTGAGCAGCTCACTGTTTACAAGACATGCCCCAACTCACGATATAGCGAGTGGGGGCTTAATTTACTAATACTCAGTAATCTTTACTTAGTATTAGTAAATTTGGCTGAAAGACCAATTTAGGTCTTTAAGCCTTTTAGTAGATAGCTCCCTAATATCGTGGGAATTAGGGAGTTATCTACTTATTCATTCCTGTCATTACACTGACAGGCTAAGTAACTTACATTTTATATGAATGTATGTTACTTGATTGTTGTAAGTGTTGCAAATGCTTACAGCTGAATCCTGGCTATGTTTGTATACTTTTTATTTAAAATCGTATACAATGCAACATTCTTCTTCTTTCACTGGGTAAGTATATTAGTACTTAGGCAATACTGTGCTTCAGAACTTTGGCACTTTGACACTTCGGAACTTCGGCACTTCGACACTCCGGAAATTCGGTAATTTCGGAACTTCGGGATCTTGGCAATTCGGCACTTCGGCACTTCAGCTATTCAGACATTCGGAAGTACCCGAATGTCTGAATTGCCCAAAATTCGTCCAAATTCATATTCAGACCAAAACCAATTGCACATGTCTAGTAACCATCCTCAGAATATCCAGCACCCAGGAATGTTTACCATTTAGCACCATACACACATAATAAGAGGAATTTATCAATTATCTGCAATATTTGATTTCTGGAATGTGCTAATCTGCAGGATCGTTTAGATTTGGTTTTAGATTGGACACTTCTTCACAAAAGTAGCTTCCATTGCTGTGCTTATAATCATGTGTCTGTCCTTTAACCATTTATCCGATGACTAATTAAGCTTCAGCTTGTGATGACAAGAGTAATAACCTAGCTGACCTCCCAGGATCTGTGTAGAATGCTAACAGAGAATCCTGAGTGCTTGGGATACTGTATGAAACATTTATTTATCTGATGTTCAAAGAGCCTTTCCTCCTGAATGAGATAAAGAGAGCAAGGACAGGAGAATGAGCAGAGAATGACAAGGTGGTGTAGACCAGATGACATTCATTTTTACAAATGTCACACGAAAGCAAAGATTTGTTGTTCGAATATTTCTTTTTACATTGTGTATTACATTTCACATAAGTAGCTTGGGGAAAAGGGAATACATTTCCAACTCACTAAACACAAGTTAAATTACATTTTCTGAAAACAAAATGTGTACTTATGACCAATGCATCTAAATTAGTATAGCTGCATGTGCTTATTAAAAAAGGTGATTTAGCCACTAGAACACAGAGCTATAAGAGTCTGATCATTCTCAGCCAGGCAGGGCATTGGGGGTTTCTAAATAAAAATAGACCATATGTTAAATATGAGTGAAACAGTTCTGTATATTTCTATATATATATATTTTACAATCCAGTGCACTCACTCACTGAACACAAACTACCAAGCTCACACATTTTTTAAAACAGCTGACTTAGGCAAACATAATGTGCATTTAGTTACAGTATATGATCCAGCAGCAGTACTACCCCCAGGGCAACAACACTGGGACCAAGATGCTGGGGGTGGGGGTTTATGCACTTTGGGCCACGCAGTGGGCATTGTAAACAGGTGTTCGTTCGAGCACCACAACTCTTCAACAGAGCAATCAGGCCACTGTAATAATCCAGGCCACTGGCAGGAAGTGAGAGCCGTTCACTTTCTCCTAGCTTCAAGGAGAGTTGTGCAAGAGAGATGAGTCGCAGTCAGGAGAGTAGTGAGAGAGTAAGAGGCAGCTCCAGAGAGACCCAGCTCTAGACCCATACTACCATCGGCCTCAGCTAAAAATATAAAAATCATGACATTATGTATCTGTGTCAGGATGTGTGTATGCCAGTGTATGTGTGTGTGTATCTGTGTGTCAGGGTCTATCTGTGTGTCAGGATGTGTGTATGCCAGTGTATGTGTGTGTGTATCTGTGTGTCAGGGTGTATCTGTGTGTCAGGATGTGTGTATGCCAGTGTATGTGTGTGTTTATCTGTGTGTCAGGGTGTATCTGTGTGTCAGGGTGTGTGCAGGTGTCAGGGTGTGTATATATGTCAGTGTGTGTGTATGTGTCAGTGTATGTTTGTGTCAGCATGTTTATCTGTTTGTGACTGTGTATGTTTCATTGTGTGTATCTATGTGTGTAAGATTGTGTATGTGTCAATGTGTATCCAAATGTGTATATATCTGTATGATATGTATGTATGTGTGTATATATGTAGCAGTGTATGAGTACGCACACACAGATACACACACATATACAAGTAATATGTTTCCCTTTATACATTGGTGGTATTTTTTTAATTTATTTTTGTAATATGCCAAAATAATCCATATATGTGTCTGTATTTTGCTCCTTTTCTTTCTTGTTGATTTTACTATTGATTGCATTCACAGAATAAGACAAAAGAGTGATATTATTAGTAAAAAAAAACATGCACCCGCAATTCTAAAGGATTTTGAATTCCTTAAATAGAAAGGAAGATCATGAAACCGTTTACCAGTCTCAGAAACTCTGCCACTTCGACATTGGTGGAAAAAATTGTTGGAGAAAAAAGGCCGAATCGAGTGCTTTGTTTTTTTTGGTTTTTTTATACATTGAGAGAGCCACAGTTTAAAACGATAATAACAAACAAGCAAAAACAAGCAAACAAACAAACAAAAAATACAGGACTAAATTATCGGGAAGGGCACAAACATGAACAATGTAGCATAGATGTCACAAATAGACACAGACATGAATTTGGAATAAAAGAAGCTGTGCCACCTTTTAGACACCCCCCACCCATTTTATAGAACCTCTGTTGCGTGTGGACCTGTGTTGTGGCTAAGAATCCCCTTCTCATGGGTTCTGACTATCAGTGACAGATGTTTAGTATTTTGAAGTGGTACATAGATCTGAATCTGCTCTAGTCTAAATGTTTTTTGAAGTGTCTATAGGCTCTCCCAGATTTATAGTCCTGATTATCTCTCCAGCCAGGATGGTGAGGAATCATTTCTGGCCTCTCCTGACTCAAGACCCTCATCTATCCAAAGTTATTTCCCCAAAAGCTTCCTTGACAGTTAATATGGGTAAAAAACCCTCAAAGATTTGTTGGTGCCTAGTCACTAATCAGCACCAACTGTCAAGAAAAACTGGATCTCTGTAGTGGGTACTTACCAGTGTGGTTACTGTGTGGCATGTCGATATATCCAAAAAGGGTCAAAGATGATCACAGACTCTATGAACAAACTCAAAATTCCTGTGAAGCAATTTTTTAAGTGCAATACTTTAGGAGTTATATACCTTCTAACTTGTGAGTGTGGACTTAAATATGTGGGGAAGGCCATACGCCCATTTAAAAGGAGGATAATAGAACATGTCCACTCTGTAACTTCCTTCAAAGACACCCCAGTGGGTGAGGGCATACCATAGAGATTCTCCAAGGGGTATGAGGTTCTCAGGCATAGAAAGGGTATGTCTGGGTAGGAGGGGAGGTGACATTGATTTAGCCCTCAAATAAAGAGAGTGCCTCTGGATTTATAAATTGAACACTCTGGCACCCAAGGGCCTCAATGAGAGTTTCACGTTCTCCCCTTATATTGGCAGCTAAATATGTTACTTGACTAATGCATGATTTATGGGATAGATTATATATTTAATATAAATATTTTTTCGTGATACATATAGGTTTTTTGTGTTTTCTATATAGTTTATATGTACTTTTGGTAAGGGATGTTTTATAGACCAAGGGTTGTTCTTTTGGTTTTGTTTTTTCTAACAAGGAATCCCTATTAGATACTATAATCCCTTCTTCTGCTAACATTATGGAGTATTCAGAATTTAGGTAGTATATATCCTAGAATACAACTAATAAATGCACTATAACCAGTTGTTATGGTACAGTCATGGCCCGTGTATATATGTGTCAATATACAATATAAGAATATGGCAACTTAATTGCTATTCAGGGACCTTTGATACAGAAATCAGATGTGACTGTCATGCAGCTCAGGTCACTTTTTATAAGTATGGTCTCTAGGGTTTAAAGTATATAATATATACCTGTGTGGCAGTTTAGTGTAATTTAATATAATAAGAAATATGGTCAACCCCTTTTGTTACCAGTTTAAATTGAAGGGGATTTTGATTGCCACTGATCTAATACAATAAAAGGTGATGCAGATTTTTGTTTGAAGTATGTTTATTTCTTCTCCATCCCCTTAATATACAGTTGCAAGAAAAAGTATGTGAACCCTTTGGAATGCTATGGATTTCTGCACAAATTGGTCATAAAATGTGATCTGATCATCATCTAAGTCACAACAATAGACAATCACAGTCTGCTTAAACTAATAACACACAAAGAATGAAATGTTGCCATGTTTTTACTGAACACACCATGTAAACATTCACAGTGCAGGTGGAAAAAGTATGTGAACCCTTGGATTTAATAACTGGTTGAACCTCCTTTGGCAGCAATAACTTCAACCAAACGTTTCCTGTAGTTGCAGATCAGACGTGCACAACGGTCAGGAGTAATTCTTGACCATTCCTCTTTACAGAACTGTTTCAGTTCAGCAATATTCTTGGGATGTCTGGTGTGAATCGCTTTCTTGAGGTCATGCCACAGCATCTCAATCGGGTTGAGGTCAGGACTTTGACTGGGCCACTTCAGAAGGCGTATTTTCTTCTGTTTAAGCCATTCTGTTGTTGATTTACTTCTATGCTTTGGGTCATTGTCCTGTTGCAACACCCATCTTCTGTTGAGCTTCAGCTGGTGGACAGATGGCCTTAAGTTCTCCTGCAAAATGTCTTGATAAACTTGGGAATTAATTTTTCCTTCGATGATAGCAATCCGTCCAGGCCCTGACGCAGGCAAAGCAGCCCCAAACCATGATGCCCCCACCACCATACTTCACAGTTGGGATGAGGTTTTGATGTTGGTGTGCTGTGCCTTTTTGCCACACATAGGGTTGTGTGTTTCTTCCAAACAACTCAACCTTGGTTTCATCTGTCCACAGAATATTTTGCCAGTACTGCTGTGGAACATCCAGGTGTTCTTGTGCAAACTGTAAACATGCAGCAATGTTTTGTTTGGACAGCAGTGGCTTCCTCTGTGGTATCCTCCCATGAAATCCATTCTTGTTTAGTGTTTTACGTTGTAGATTCACTAACAAGGATGTTAGCATTTGCCAGTAACTTTTGTAAGTTTTTAGCTAACACTCTAGGATTCTTCTTCACCTCATTGGGCAGTCTGCGCTGTGCTCTTGCAGTCATCTTTACAGGACGGCCACACCTAGGGGGAGTAGCAGCAGTGCTGAAATTTCTCAATTTATAGACAATTTGTCTTACCGTGGACTGATGAACAGCAAGGCTTTTGGAGATACTTTTATAACCCTTTCCAGCTTTATGCATGTCAACAATTCTTAATCGTAGGTCTTCTGAGAGCTCTTTTGTGTGAGGTATCATTCACATCAGGCAATGCTTCTTGTGAAAAGCAAACCCAGAACTGGTGTGTGTTTTTTATAGGGCAGGGCAGCTGTAACCAACACCTCCAATCTCATCTCATTGATTGGACTCCAGTTGATTGACATCTCACTCCAATTAGCTCTTGGAGATGTCATTAGTCTAGTGGTTCACATACTTTTTCCACCTGCACTGTGAATGTTTACATGGTGTGTTCAATAAAAACATGGCAACATTTCATTCTTTGTGAGTTATTAGTTTAAGCAGACTGTGATTGTCTATTGTTGTGACTTAGATGATGATGATCAGATCACATTTTATGACCAATTTGTGCAGAAATCCATATCATTCCAAAGGGTTCACATACTTTTTCTTACAACTGTATAGACTGTGTGATCGATGCAATTTGCTGTTTTCCCTCTCCTTGTGTATATTTCTCTGTTCAAGGCTCCTCCCATTCTCCTCCTTGCACTTAGGCAATATTAAGATGGGTGGGAGCACTTACAGAGGGGTGGAATAATAGGGGCAGGGCTGAGAATGACGTCACAGCATTCTCATTACACACCCTCTAGAGACGTAATTGGCCGTGGCTACCACGTAACCTGACGTCTCGTTCTAATATAAGGGGACCCGGTGAGCGGCTCTCATTTATGCCCTGGACAAAGGCACTTTAGTAATGCCGAAAAGCGTGTCGGATCACTTTATTTTGTTTTTATTTAGCATAGGCACGTTTTGCTTGCACAATGGTCATTTAGGTTGCTAGTGTCGATGTGGGATTTTTGGTAGACTCTCAGTAATCAGCAATATGGACGCTATTGTAGGGAACCTGGTTGGTTGATTGGGGGTTCTAAGGGAGAACCATACAGCTTATACAGTCTGGATTTTCTTTTGCAGCAACAAGCCTTCTATTTTTCTAATTTTTTCTAGTCAGCGACCTTGAAGTCGAATTTCTATTTAGCCAGTTCATAGAGGGCTGTTGCATGATTTTTTTTGTAGGTGCCAGTTATCACCCATTGTTTGTAACATTTTTTGAAGCAGTGTGTACTGATATACTGTTACACTAAAACCGTTTGACTTATACAGTCCACTTACAATAGTGGTTGTTGATCTATAGGGCTTTCTCCTTTGCCCTCTTTCTATATACAACAAGTGGTTTACTGTAAGTGATTTATAAATCTATATTTGGTGTCATCTCTTTAAGTAGCTGTTAATATTGTTGCACTGTTTCATTGAATACATTTTATTTAACACAGTTTACCACAGTAGTGGCATTGATTTATAGGGCTTCATATTGCCTTCTGTTATAGCCACAAGAGTTTAACTGCAGGTTCTTTCACTCCCACTCCTATCATCCTTTACCAACATCCCATCCAGTCCACTAGAGAGTCTCTCCTTCCCCTCTTTGTTATTATATAGAGCCTATTTGTCTATGGCTCTTTTTAATGGCGTCTATGTTATATGTTCTCTTTTCTAAAGATTTAATAAAATTCATCTAATTGTATGTAATTTTCAAATATATTAATTCTATATTCTACAAGGAACCTTTTTGTGTCCATTGGATTGTTTTCTTTGGACATTTAAGTATCTTTTTTTACTGTTAAAATTTAGGGTTACTCCCTGTTCAGGTTCACTTGCACACACCAATAGTCCCTCTGTGGGACACTCTGCTTTTATAGGTCTCTTGTCTTGTTCGAGTAATTGCTCCAGAATAACCGATATCCCACCTGCTTGGTGCTCTAACTGTATATATTCCCAGGTGATTGTATATCATGCGTGCCTTTGCCACTTTTTCTGAAAATGAAATTGCATGCTTGATGGAGCTGAAGAGGCATTGCCAGCCTTGAGATTCCCATGGCATCACTATTTTATGTTATTTAGATATTCCTATCAAGTCATCTTGCTTAGAATGACGTTTGTGTAGATATGGTTGCTGTTTGGTGCCATCTCTGATTATAGTAACACAAATTCTCCTTATATAATTTATTTCTACTTCAATTTTCTGCTTATACAAAATAAAAAATGTTGGGACAGAAAAATATATAAATGCATTTGGCAGAGGAAATCACAAGTACAAAAATAATGAATCCATAAATAGAGCATCCAACATTCCAATGACAGCTGATTATTGAGAAGACTTTTGTGAGTACCAGATCTGTGCAGCCAGGGTTTCTCTAGAAGATATTAATCGGCGTAGTCTTAGCTGACGCAGAAGGTGTAGATTTTTCCAGCTTTAGTGAGAATTTGGTGCATCCCAGCTTTGGTGCAATTGCATGGCAGATTTTGGAAAGTCCACTAATAATTGAGATACTCTCCATACTTGGTAGTTTTATTGCCCAATTTCGACTTCCCAATTTGTTCTTAATCTTTCGCTGGGGTATATAAGTTTCTCATACAATAGAGGTGCAAATATATGTAAGAAAATAATAAAAATAGGAGCAGCTACACGCATCCACTAGCGACTATGAATGAGTGTAAGCTCAAAGGTTAAGCAAAGCGTGAGCGCTCTTTACTCATGAAACATATTGAAAATATAAATAAATCAATAAAACAGTATTTTATTCCAAAAAAATTATATATAAAAAAGAAAAAATAGTAACAAATATAAAAAACCAGATCAAAGATGACCTAAACCTGCTGAGATGAGAATAAAAAACAATATATCCCTTAGAAAGAGCAAATATAAATCTACAGAAATGCAAAATGCACAACTGAGTCGGAAGGGTTAACTCAGACACTAGGTAGAAAATAACAACAAAGTGTCAGAGTATTATCCCCACCAAATTCAGAAACAAATATAACAACTGTAACAAATAATACAAAACTAGGTATATACTGTAAAATACCTTTCCTCGGTGTGGGCCCCCCACCGAGGTACATACACAGAGCGTGTAGAAAAAGATAAATGAATAAAAATGATGAATGATGCGAGCTGGAGGCGGTAATGGTATACTTCAGGAGATGTTAAAGTCCAGCAAAGTCCAGCAAAAGGCACACAGGATTCCTCAAAATACTATGAGGTATATCGCGGTCGGGATCTTCAAAAAAGACCGCGATATATACAGAACTCACTCACTGCCGCCGCTCGCAGTAACTTCAATGCCAGGTAAGTTCATCCGATGGGGAAAAAAGACCGCCAAAGTACAGAACCGCTTCCTGCTCTCACTCCTCAATCACAGCAGGTGTAGGTTCATCCGATTCACCCGTCTACGCGTTTCGTCCCTCCCACGGGACTTTTTCAAGACAGGAACTGCAATGTGAAGTAACCCAATATATATACCCCACCATCAAATAAAGCAGGATTGGATTCACTTGCATATATATAGCAAATCTTGTCTAGGTATAAATAAGATTTAATATAAAAGAAATAAATATAAAATCATTCAAAATAAAACCTGATATTCAGGTCAGGCAACAAATACAAAACACAATATGTGTAACATATATATCCCACCCCTCCCTCCCCCCCAAAAAAACAAAAAAGCAACATATTAAAGATTATTTAAAAATAAAAATTTTTAAAATAAAAAGCAGCAATTATCTGTAATATCTCAAAATAATTCTAGTTCCTCATTTAAGCCATTAGGTGACATAGAGTTCAGCTTGAAGATCCACACTGATTCAGCCTTAATTAATTCACGTTTTTTCTTCGTTTCATCCTGATGGAAGGGAATATGTACTATTCCCATTAATTTAAGACCAACAGGATTATTATCATGAAAGATAGTAAAGTGGCGGGCCACCGGGGATCTACTATCGTTACGTAATATAGCTGTCCTATGTTCACGAAATCTACATTTCAAGGGTCTGATAGTTTGACCCACATATTGCCGTCCACAGGGACAAATTAGGAGATATACCACAAAAGAAGTGTTACAAGTAATTGATGACTGCACAGAAAAGATCTCAGTACTATCAAACGAACTAAACGTGGATTGTTGATGACAAATAAATCCACAAGTTAAGCATTTAGCATGACCACAACGCTTATTAACTGCAGCCTCTTGGCACACTCTCTGGTGTCCTACATTTTGACAGTGCAGTTTCGAAGGAGCTAGGATGTTTTTCAAATTAGGGGCCCTTCTAAAAGTAACCCTGGGAACCTTTGAAATACAGAAAGACAACCAAGGGTCACTGGTCAATATTGGCCAATATTTGTCAAAAACTCCTATAATCTCATCAAAACCTATATTAAAGGTAGTGGAAAATATGGGTGTTTTGCCTGTGCCGACCTCTTTGGTACTGATATTAAATTTTGCTTTTTTCAGAGACTGGTCACAGGACCCACCCAAAAGTTCAAGGATCTTAAAGTGTCCACTAGAGTGGTGTTCTTGTCCTCTATATAAAGATGATATAGAGGAATTCATCGTAAGCAAAGTTTTATTAAGAGCCTCTGACCGTGGTATCATCCCAAACTTGAGACCTTTCAAATAAGCCTCCATAATAATCCTCAGAGGATAGGCTTTCTCTACAAAACGCTGGGAAAGCATTAGTGCCTCTTTTTCATAATCACATATAAATGAGCAGTTACGTCTGATTCTAGTGAACTGCCCCAAGGGGATATTCTGGATCCACGTGGGATGATGCCCACTTCTGGCATGTAGATACCCATTAACATACACACTTTTCTGATAGGTCTTGGTGATAATTTTACCCTCAACCCCAATTAGGGTGAGATCCAGAAAATCTATAGTAGATTTATGTTGTTTATGTGTAAAAGAGAGGCCCCACTGATTATTGTTAATGGACATCATAAAGTCCTCTACTTCACCCCAATTACCCCTCCAAATAATGAGGATGTCATCAATGAACCTACGATAGAGGGCGAGACGCCCCATCCAAAACTGGTTGGCAAAGATCGTAACTTGTTCCGAGTAGCCCATAAATAAATTGGCATAGGATGGGGCGAAACTCGCCCCCATCGCGGTTCCTTTGGTCTGTACAAAAAACTTGCCATTAAACTCAAAATAATTATGTTTCAGCATAAATTCGGTAAACCTGATAACAAATTCAGACTGTTGAGCTGGAAGAAGGGGATCAGAATTCAAATACCAAGTAAGGGCTTTTAAACCCAAAACATGATCTATATTAGAATATAGGGCTTCCACATCAATCGTGAGCCAACAATAGTGTTCCTTCCACTCTAACTCATTAACAATGGACAACACATGTCCAGTATCCTTCAAGAAGGACGGTAGATGTGGAACAAAACGTTGTAGATGGAAATCGACCCACTTAGAAATCGGTGCAATTAGAGACCCTAGCCCAGATATAATAGGGCGACCAGGTGGTTTTTCAAGCGATTTATGCACCTTAGGAAGGTAATAAAAAATAGGGATCTCCCCTTGAGCTGAGAGAAAAAAATTCCTCTCTTACTTATCAATGGCTCCATGTAGAAATGCTGATTCTATGAGATCTCTCAGTTCCTTTCTGAAGCATATAGTAGGGTCTGACCCTAAAATCTCATAGTACTCTAAATTCCCCAAAATTCGCTCAGCTTCCTGTAAATAATCCACTCTGTCCAGCAGGACAATACCCCCTCCCTTATCTGCCCCTTTAATAATAAGATTATGATTATTCTTTAGGCTATTAATAGCTGCTCTCTCAGATGCCTCCAAATTAATACACACTCGATCTTTTTTCTTTTTATAATCAGCGCAAAGAACTTTCAGATCTTTCAGGACTAGTTCATAGAACATTTGTAAATAAGGACCTTTATCTCCCTGTGGATAAAAGGTCGAGGGTTTTTTTAAACCAGATGGAATATTGGACTCGAGTATACAGATAAGGTCATCCTTCTCTTCTTGCAAATCCTGTTCTTCTAATAATGAGACAAGATTATGAAAAATAATTTTATCCTGTGGGGTATTTAAGGACTTTGGACAATTTTCTCTGCCCTTAGCATCCCTAAGATTAAAAGATCTGATAACCGTAAGTTTTCTAATAAAGTGGTTCAGATCTTTAAACAAATCAATTATGTTTGGTAATCTATCGGGGGCATACTTAAGTCCTTTATTCAGAAGAGAAATTTCCCCAACATTTAGATTGTATGTTGACAGGTTAAATAAACCTTTAATCAAAGGCACCTCATTTTGGCGGGACTGTTTTCCCCTTCCCCTCGTTCCTCTACGAAAGCCCCCCTCCTTTTCTGGGGGCGTTTGAATAAAGGGAATGTTTTGTCTTTTTCCATTTGGGGAAGTGATTCTAAAAAATCATCATCTGTATGATCTATAACATGCTTTCTATGTGGATAGATCTTCTTGGGTCTCGCCCCCAAACCACCAACCAAATCAACCCCAACCTTTGGTACCCCCTCTGCTTTATCGGGACGAGAATTACGTCCCAAAGGGATATAATTAGGGTTGGGTGAATAGTTGTTATAACGTGGTGGGGGCGGCATAGGATTCTTTTTTATTTTTATCGCTGTTTTCTCCCCATAAACCGTAGAACGAGATCCTTTTCCATAACGGGGATTTCTCACAATATCAGCATATGACCCAATCTTCTGTTTAAATCCCCCTTTTGGAGATAAATGAGAGCGGGTAAGACTACCTTCCTTATATCCTACTGGATGGTTATAAGTGGATCTGGAGCTGCGTTTACGTTGCCAGCTCCTAACTTGTCCATTTTGATAATCAAGTTTATCCCTCTGAAATTTTTTCTTTTTACGCATAATGAGCTCCTTTTCGAAACTAATTAGTTTCTGATTGGTGGCCTCATCTAGCTTAGAAATAACAGACGACTGCTCTTGAACAGAGCCTATCCGTCCTTGTAAGTCCTTAATACTCTTTTCCGTAACACAAAGCCTGGATTCTCTATATCTAATTAAAATATCCATAAGTATAAAAGAGCAGGTATCTAAAGCCCCCAGCCACTCCTGTTCTAGAGGTATATTATCATTAAAAAATGGTAAGTTTTTTACCCCGGGACCTGAACCTTTCATTGTTGATTATGATTTAATGTAGACCAAAAGGGAGCAGGGGTATAACTTTTTTAGAAAATAGAAGGCATTTTTTTGTTTTTGTTTTAATTCTTTATTTTTGCTGTGCACATTATAACAAACAGACTTGCGCTGCCACGACAGTAAGAGCAAGTACTAGAAAATGAGACATAAGGAGACATTGTCATGGCATCATAAGCTACTGCACATTTTTAAGAAATAAATAAAAAAGATCTGTGACAGAATGAAGCATATTGAGAGTAATCCCCATGGAGGCTCCCCTAATAACAAGATGACGAGAATAGTGAGTCAAAACAAAGAGCTGGAAAGGATGCATCAAAGCTAACTAAAGCACAACACACGAGAGACCCCTACCACCATGTTAATTAGCTTGAAGTGGGGAAATAGAGCTCTCCGTGTTCCCTGTACTCTGTGCACCCTATGCCCTTAATGGGCAAAGCAAAGTTCATCATCTTTTGGGAGCTGCCAATTTCGGAGAGAGGTAAGGCAGGAGCATGTCTTGGGAAGTCCCTATGTGTGACAGCAGAGCAATACCAGGAAAGGGCAGGAACCCAGGAAAATATGGTGACTCGCAGTACTGTTTCGCCGACTTGTTTGCTTTCGGAGGCCCAGTCTCTTTCCCACAGGGGGTACCTGAAGGATCTTGATGCTAGTTGTCGATTTATGCGGGAGATCTTCTGTCCACACAGATAACTCACAGAGCCTTTGCTTCGAGTGGTCCTTGGCTCAGGTAAGCCTTTTGTAGGGCAATATGCTGCCAACAAGGTTTTGATGTGAAAATGCTTATCAAGCTGTTGTAGGAAGCGTTCAATGGAGTCGCAGGAGGCCCTCTGGGCTGGATTTGGGCCACATGGGTCAGAGAGGGAGGCATCCACCATCTTAGAAAGTCAGGGCTCGACCACACAGGGACTCATGAGGCTTGGTAGGTGCAGCTGAGATGGCTTGAGGGTGTCCAGCGGGGACCGGGATATCCCCCACCTGCAAAGGGGTGTAGGGGGTTTAGAAATGTAGCTGGTCTATTTTTTAAACTCTGGAGAGTGGGGAGAGTGGCCTCCTCTCTCCCTTTCTGTCGTTAGTAGACTGCTACAAAGTTTTTAGGGTTCCCGGCGATGTAGAGTGTCAGTTGAGGTATCAAGAAGCTCGCCTGGGAACCCCTGACTTAGGCAGTCTTTGTGGCTTGGTGGCCAGGTTAGCACCCAAAAAATTGACAAATTGTCAGAAGCTTGTGCACTGCACTTCTAGAAAGCATGAAGGTTAAGCTCCACCACCAGTAGAAGGCATTTTTGGAAGAACTCATTATCAATAAACTATTCTCAAAGCCAGGAATTATAGTGAATTGACAAAGATTTGCAAATTCTAAGCCAAAATAGTTAGAATGTAATCTCATTCCCCTTAGAATGTAAGCTCATTAGAACAGGGTCCTCAGGACCTTCTGCTCCCGTACATTCAACTTGTCTTCTTGCAAATTCTTGTTTGTTAGTCAACCATACAACACTCTATAATATTGTGGCTCTTCATAAATAATAACATAGTTGTATTCCCTAAAATGTCCAAGTCAGCTGCATTCCTAGCTTGACTAAAATTTGTGATTCTGGAATTTTAAATTTAGAGAATAACTTTACGTGGGTTCATTTTCAGATGTCCTGTTTTATGACAAGGCAGGCAGATGCTTGGAACAGCCTTCTAAATAGTACAAAATCACCTGTAGATTCAATCTGGCTAGCAATAACTAAACAGGATAATGAGATGTTATGGAGCGACTAGTTTGATTCTGCAGTCACACTGAGATAGAATATATTCTCAGAGTTCACAGGGAAGTCATTCTGAGGCTAGATTCAATTTCTGGACCAATGAACTTCTCTAAAAATTAGAAGAAAAGAGGTGGATATATTTATAAAGCTAGCAGTTTATTTACTAAACAGTTATTTGTGAAGGTATGAAGGCCAGTTTTGGTTAATTAGAAAGATATACTCTACACTGCTGTGAGAAAGTCTTTACTTCTTGTCTGGTTTTCTCTATATTTGTGTTTGTGTCACAAAGTGTTTTCATATAACATGTGATAAGACAAAGAGAACTCAATTATTTAAAAAATGTGTTTTTAGTGATAATTCCAATTGTTTTAAGGAATACTCCAAGCACCATAACCACTACAGCTCACTTTTGTTGCGATTCACACTGTTTTTGAATGGTTTGACTTACCAGGGATTCAATGGGCACCACTCCTCCACTACTAATGCCAGAGAGCCAGATGAGCCTAAGCAGGAACTTCTGTTAGCTTTCTTGTGCTATTCAGGGTCTCTCTAACCTCAACTAAAGTTAGTGTTATCGATTCAATATAAGAAAAATATTAAATAAAAGAGACCATAGGCAAAATTGGGATTAAGTACAAACCCCCTGTTAACTCAAAGAAGCATTAAAATAAAAGATTAAATGCATTGTAAACTTGACATTTGGCCAGTAGAATGTGGACTTCTCCTTTCCCTCCTTGGCTAGAATAAATGTCTGTGCAGCAAGATATGCTGGGTGTAAGCAACACTTATTCACTAAACATTGAATTGTTGTAAAATGAAATTCAAAATTTAGAGTAGGACAGCCAGGCTAAATGTCTTCCAAGACGGTAGTTCCAGTATTTTTCAGTTTGGCTTTCAAGCAATTTAATGTTGAGTGAATAAACCTCTGCAGAAGTCTGTATTGAAAGCCATATATTGTATAAACTTCTATTAGAATGCTAGGAAGTAAAGAATTATAGAGAATTGACAAAGATTTGCAAATTCTAAGCCAAAATAGTTAGAATGTAAGTTCATTCCCCTTAGAATGTAAACTCATTTGAACAGAGTCCTTAGGACCTTCTGCTCCCCTAAATTCAACTTCTTCAAAATTCAAAGTCTTCTTGCAAATTCTTCTTTGTTAGTCAACCATACAACACTCTAGAATATGAAGCTTCTCCAATAAAGGATGTTCAATGAATATTCAACCTCATTGAACATCCTTTATTGGAGAAGCTTCATCTCACATTCCCGGGTGGGGGACATACCACCTATGCTGTTAAGGATTAAGAAATACCAGTTTGCTCACTCATTGTGAGTATATCTCCTTTTTTATTTTATTTTTGTTATTTTTATATTCTCCGCATATCACTGGAGCATCATCCTGGATACACAACGTGGGTTACTGGCACAAAGACACCATACCAGAGGGGACCAGGGCCATCTATAGATCCACAGACGGGATTATACCGTCCAAACGCTGTGATCTGGAGCTGATCTATAGCTCCATAAAAGTGTGAGTGCAATACTTTCCCTTATTTTTGCCTCTACTTCTTCCATAGAAACTACACTGTATTTGCATTCCTGTCCCATTTTGTTTTTTCTTTCATATGGCTCCATTGGATTCTACACAAGGATTTTTATCTGTAAAGCGCTGCTTCCCTACACTCCCCGTAGTATATCTGTACAGATGGGTTTGTGTCAAGATACCATGCCACATATTTGTTACTGATTATATTAAGCATTCCACACTTAAAGCTTGTCTATGAGCATTAGATGGACCATTGTACACAGTTTAAACATGTATTCCTGACCCAATAGTGTTAAAAACACTATCTAGTCCCCTTACCCTCCTATATATAGTAATTTCTTACCTTTATTCCAGTCTGCTGCTGGCTCTGTCTCTGATCTGCCTCCTTAGCTGACCTAAAAGTGTTGATCTGAGCCAATCACAATGCTTTTCCACAAGAAAGTTTTGGCTTGGCTGAGCTTGTCAGGGAGGCAGATCGGGGCAGAGCCAGCACAAGCCAAATGCAGCTCTGGCCAATCAGCATCTCCTCATAGAGATACATTGAATCAATGCATCTCTATGAGGAAAGTTCAGTGTCGCCATGCAGTGGGTGAAGACACTGAATGGCAGTGCTGCCCCAGGAAGCACCTCTAGCACCCATCTGAGAAGTGGCTAGTGGAGTTATCAATAGGCTGTAATGTAAACACTGCATTTTCTCTGAAAAAACAGTGTTTACTGCAAAAAGCCTAAAGGGACTGAATATACTCACCAGAAAAAATACAATAAGATTATACTCATACAGAACAAATACATTAGTGTCCCTTTAAAGTATATAACATAAATATATTTAAATATCTATCGCTAGAATGTGTTAGTTATACAATGCTAATTGTCTTGACTTAGGGCAGAGCATGTCCACTTAATTGCTACAAAATAATTTTTCCAAAAATAGAAAACAAATGAAGATATAGTTTTGCCTATTATCAGTATGCAGAATTATTTTCTTAGGTAACGTAGATTTTCCAAATTGGGACAATGGGACAAAGTGCTTCTACAGTCCTTGTCGGTGAATTTAATAATAATTTCTGTGCTCCTGATCTATCGGAGAAAGGACAGAGGAAAGCAGTTGATAGTTGTTTTGGTAGCTGTTATGGTATGATCTCTCTAGGTCAAGGTATTCAGGATTTACGTAGTGGAGAGCAAAACTGGGTTTTGCTCAATCCTTATAGCTTGAGTGGTGTGTTCCCCACCAAGGAATATGATGTCAGGATCTTCTGAATAAAATATTCTGGACAAAATCAGGAAGGTCCAAATATGGCTAAAAATAACTACATTTATTGACAATAAAGATTAAAATCACAAAAGGAATAAACACTAACGCGTTTCGCCAAAGATTACAGGCTTTCTCATAGTGTTCATGATTATATAGACTGTGTTTTCAAGGATGTTTTTGCACCATTGAAGGTTGGTGTTCACAGATATAAATAATATAAAAATGAACCTACAATATATTTTAGATTACATGAATTTCCACCACTTTACAAAGTTGTAATTTTTTTATAATTCCTTTTCCTTTCTTCATTGTAATCAGTACAGGACATTGCCTATCCGATCCATCCTTGGTTGGTGGTTGGCTCTATAGCGATACTAAATTCTCAGGCAATTAAAGCAATGACTTGACCACAAGCAGAATCCCTTCCTTCATGTCTCTAGAAAGACCTTGAAAATAATTAGCTGTCTTTGTAGTGAAATCTATGTATATTTATTAACATGTGCTAATATTTCTCATAACATAATTTGGTCTGTCAGAAATTCACTATAGCTGTCACTCTTTCTTATTTCAAGATTTGAGTTTTTAGAGCTGTTAGCTAATTATGGATATACATATAAGATGTCTACAACCTAGGATTGATCCCTTACCTATGGTTTTGCATTTCACGGCTCTTTACAAACCTGCCAATTAGACGAAAGATATGACTTAAAGCTGATCTGGCATTTAAAATATTTATTTTTGCTATATATTAATGAATAAGCTAGAGTTTAAAAAAAGAACCATCTGTATGGTAATTCTGTTTCTCAAACCATTTTGTGGAACTCTGGATATTTCAACTGATATACTTGTGCTTGTCCCTGCTTGGAGAGATAGATATGGATATAATATAGATAAATAAATCTTGATGGCTTATTCTGTAACTAGTATTTGGAGAGGAGGAGATACAGACAAGCTTCTAACATAAATGATTTCATGGTGGGAAGATTAAAACAAATTACCAATACATAGCTGATACAAAACCAAGACAAAACCGAGACATTATGTATGCTCTAAGCCTCCATGCAAGGTTTTGGTATTTTTTAAGTGAAAGGTTTACCTTAATATGAAGAAAAAATTTGAACTGTTTGAGATTTTATCACCATTGGGACTAGAATGCAATGTATGTATTATTTGGCCAATGGACTTCTTGTTTCTCTTACTTTCTGGCCTATAGGACACTATAAACCCTATTGGAAATAGCTATAAATAAAGCAATGACATTGAATGATTAAGATTGATTTTTCTGATTTCTCTTGCAGGAGGCAAACAATTATGGAATTTTCCAGCAGTGTAAAACTACCAGTGTCAAACTGAAAGTGGACATCAAAACCTGTCCAGAAGGCACAAGAAGTCGCCATGTTTTCCGATAAAAATACCCAAAAACCTGTTCAGAAAAAGACAAGACCCCATGGCTTACCCTCTCCTGCTCTGTGTTGTGCCTGTGGACTGTGCATCATGCTCGCTGGGATAAACATTACATTGGTAGGGGCTTTTGCCTTTGGGACATTTCTGCCGTTGGACAATCCTCCCATCATCATTGGACCTATTCTGCTGGTTGTTGCTTTTGCATTCTTTGGAGCGTGCTGCATTTGTAGTCGTCGGCCACCAGCCTATGGCACAAGGAAGTCCAAGCCAGGCTCCAATATTGGTTTTATTAAACCAGGTAATGCAGCCTTTGAGATCGAAACAAGCGAACACACAGTGCAGGACACCACCGCAGTTCAACTTAGTCCAACCAATTCCCCAGTCTCTTCTCGGAAATCTTCTCCCACTCATGAGAACTCTAAAATGTGCAAACTTTTCACCATGGAGGGCAATGGGCCAGTGGCTAAATACAATGCAGGAGGGGAATCTATACAGCTTAACTTACCCAGAGACCCTGCCACTTAAACTCGTAATGTTCTAGGACACATTACAAAGTTTCTTAATACTGCTGGAGCTGGAGTCATCGTCCGTAGCCAGCAGTTCGGTTGCTGTGATGGCTTTAAGGAATGGAGCAGTTACAAAGCAAGTTTAGAAATGAATTCATGGAGCTCACTGACGAAGCATTAATTGTTTGCTTAGGTGGCTAGAGCGAAGAGGTTTTTCCAGTCCATGGCAAATAGTTAACACAGTGAAGATATTCATTTGCCTATAAAACTTGTGGTGGTATTTATTTATTTTAATTGTTAGCTGTTTTCTAAAAAATATGCTGCCCAAATATTTTTATTCTGTTTCAAGTCAAAGAAGAAGTGTTTGTTTTGGTTAAAATGGTTGTGTGATGTTATACCAATTCTGTCTTGTTTATATTTTAAACAGATTTGTTTTGGGTGTAGTTTTGTTGCAAGTAACTTAGAGTGGACACGTCATCTAAGATTACCTTTATAATGAAAACAACTGTGTTCTTTTTTCTAAAGTATATATGTTACTATTTAACAACTTAACATAGATCAGCAAGTACTAAGATCTAATCAATAAACAGTACAATTATTATAATGCAGTGTTATAAATTAGAATTAAACCGCCAGGAAACATTGTGGGGCGCAGACTGTTTAACTCCTCTATTTTCAACAGAAATCATTTTCTCATGTCTGAATCCTACAGATATTAAAGAGATACTTAAAATGAGAAAGGAGGCATGCACTAATCAGATGTTATCTTATTAAAACATTTTGGGGTTTAACGTGTGAAGTAATACATTCTTCACATCATTAAATTTGGGAATTCACGTACTTGTTCACTGCTTTTTACTTGGTTTTTCAAAACAATTAAAAAACATCCCAAACAGGTTATCAGAAAAGTACCTATCTCCTAAACCATATAGATAGTTTAGAAGATTACAGCTGCACCCTGATTAATATTATGGGAAGAAACAAACTCTAAAGCTCTAAACAAATAAAGCCATTCACTGAAATATGTTATTTCTGGATTTAAAAAAATGTTAATATAATATATAGATGGAATTTCTTTAAGTGTTAATGTTAAATGTTTTAAAGTGCTACGTTCTTTGCTCTTTTTGTGTTAATGTATATCATCTCACGTTGTTCTACCTTTAACAAGCTGGCAAGACGAGAAAATGGCTTAGTGAATACCATAAGATTAGTGGTTTATCTGGTCGACTTGATAACAAAAGATTGGATGGATGGCCATATAAATAATAATACATAATAATAAATATATGTTTTAGCTCCTCTCCCTGTACACAAAATGTCACTTTGTTTACTTTGGTAATTCCTTTGACATATTACTGAAGTTCTGTACAGAATGTCACCTCAGTTACCCCTAAATATATTTAAGGCTTTGGTTTTTAATGATATTTTTATTATACCGACCTGGAAACATACTTATAGTCATTTTAATTTCTCTATAGTGCATCTTTCTGAAGATAAAAAGTAAGTCATCTACAAGGTGTTTAAGTGTTTTTTTTTTTTGCATCATCAAAATGTCCTTAAAATATTTCTAGTCTTTGTCTGAAAAGCATAATTAAGCATTCTTGATATTACACTGTAGATGCCCTCAGTTTGACCAAAATCTTATGTCTGCTTGAACCATTAATAATCTGCTCACTCAGGATCATGAAGTTCCAATTCTATCACAACAGAATAATATGTCTCCTAGTCAGTTTTTTTATCCACTCTACAAATTGCAATGTCTAATTGATGTAGTTGCTGATAATTGTTTATGTGACAGTGTCAAGCTCCTTTAATGAAATATTGGTAAACTCTTCCCACTACCTATATCTTATCTAAAATCATACTATCTCACTCTCAATATCTGTACGCTCAATTTAAGATAGATCAGAGTTACGCAGCTTTGTCTCCCTATCTGTTTTATGTCTTTTTCCATAATTATTTGCCAAGTAATACATTGAGGTATAGTATACGGTATATTAAAATATGTTTTATTATACATTATATTAGTATTTTAAGGTATATTTGTAGAATGCAGTGTGCTTTGTATCACTTCATAGCAAATGACGCGATAATCTCACAATAACTAATGTGTTTACACGATTTTCATTGTAATTCTTTGGTTTCCATTTCCATTACGCTGTTTTGTGATTCCTAGGAAGAATTTGAGAATTTCTACGGAATGGTAGATTTAAGGCTGAAATAGCTGTGCTAAAAATAGCTGCAATGGAAAATATATATAGTTTGGTTGTTTTTTACTTAAATTTACTTAAATTTCAAATTCCCAATGGTCAGTCAATAACAAACCCCCCTTAAACCCCCAAGATCCCCTCCCCAATATCCCCCCCCCAAAAAAAAAACAGTGGAGTACGAGAACATAATTAGAGGATTAATTATAATGACACAAAATAAGAATGACAAGGGAGTTTTCTGGTATCTCCAGAATGGTATAATTTCATTACGTCAACAATGGTACCATAGCTGAAAATACATTTTATGACTAAGAACTGCTTTGTTATTGACAATTCAGGCACTAAATTAATTCATATAACTAGCTGGGCCTGACCAAACTGTTTTCTTAGGAATGTTATGTATGTGGACCACAGACTCTGCTTCAGAGACAATACCTCATTGTGTCTAAAAAATACTTTGTATCCAGAGTAACATATCACACATGATTACAGACGGACTTTGATAAACAGTCACATTTTCTGAGGGGCAGCAGCTGGATGTTTAATCAGGGGAAGGGCAAATCTGTGATGTTTTTGGCAATTACATAACCTACTGATAACTAACTATATAAATATAATAAAATGATGTATGAAGATATCATTTAGAACCAGAGCAGTTTGTCTTACAAACAGACTTCTGAGAAAGATATTTATTTTATATAAATTATTTTAAATATATTTATTAACCTGCACCAGGGTGATGCATCCCTGTTAAAACTTCTTTAGTTACATTGTTTTACTACAATCCCCAAGCCCCAGGGGTTGGAGCCTTGCGTGCAGGAATATTGTTCACCCCTGCAAAGCATCACATCCCACGGTGACTAGTTACGTTAATCACCTGGAGAGTAGATGTGTGTATGGGGGCTGTGCAGGAGGGCTGATCCAGAAGTGCAAGACAGACTAGGAAAAATCTAAGATCAGAGCTCAAGACAAATCCAAGGATTTGTGCTGGCAGGAAGTGTACATAAATGATAGTCCATTAATATGTTCACAAAACCAGAGCGTCAGGGGTAGAGTCACGACCACGTAGAATGCACGCAGAAACGACAGCAGGCAAACAGGCCCTGAAGCTGATGTGAGGCTGGCTTTAAAGATAGTAAAGGGAGCTACAGATGTAATGAATAGCTGCAGATGAGTCTGCAGTAATGAATACCCCCAGATGTGCAGGATAAGCTGCAAACAAACTGACAGGTGTCAAACTGCAGTGACTCACAGGTAGAGAAACTGACTGGAAACAGAGAGGACCAGAATTCCAGCCAGATCTCCCAAAGGGGGCCATGCCTAGCAGTCTGCCGAGATGAGGACAAACTATGACGGGGGCTCACTCCAAAACATTAGTTCATTTCATGATTACTATAACTTTCTCAGGCCTGGATTTAATGTATTTGGATAAATTTTTCAAATAGTCTCAACCTATCAGAAAACATTTCAAATAATTTATCTACAAATGATGGGCTCCGTAGATGTTTGCAGTTCAGCGAACATTACTCATGTTGTATGTTTTCTTTGTGTGGGGTTACTCTTTAGAATAGCAGTTTGTTTCACCCATGTGAGAGTGCCAATATTTTTATCTTTGGAAAAGTCAAATTCTCCAATATGTGAGCAAATTATCTAACATAACACAATGCTCATCCCTCCACAGCAATCACCGACTAAATATGGGAGTACGGACTTATCTGACCTTCTATGGCTATGGGAAGAAATATATATTAACTGAAACATTTAGAAATGATACAAACTATGGAAGACAATATATTGTGCTCACATTAGATTAGCACTTTGTGCATCTTTATGTGAGATATAGGAAACTTGGGTAATTAAAATTAAAGGATTACGTCCGAGAACCATGACCACTTTTGGTCAGCTCGACCACATTCACTTTGAAACGCTACACACACAGAGATTCACCCCTTAGCTGCCAGAGGTATAACTCCACCAACCAGCGTTATTAGTCAGCCAAGAACACAATTTCAATGACCCAGACCAGAACATAGTTCCGGGCTGGCAAATGTAAATTTTGTGAAAAATTGTTGCCTAAAGTTGAAAGTTCAATTTGAATGCACATTTCTTTACTATATTTCTTGAAATTGTCTTCCCATCTGAATCTCTGAACCACAGGCAATGCACTTATAATATAGACATATTTTAAATTTAAAATTTAGCTGGTGGTGTCATCTGCAGAACTACTGTTATTCCCTTCACATTTTAACTGTTCAATCTTTTCGTCCAGCTATTGCTGGCCACGGGAAAACCCACAAAGTGGACTGAATCTATCACTCAAAACTTTTCAGCCTCCAGATCTGATTTATTTCAGAGAGCTCCTTGACTAAGCCTGATGTTGAAGACAGGTCTTATTTTCTAATTATTCTAAATAAGATCAGACTTGGTGCCTTCAGGCAAGAAAATGAGAGGATTAGACAAGAGCCAAGATTCCATCTGTCATTTATCTCTGAAAATATGTTCACAAAGAAATTCTTTGGGAACCATCAGGGTTCTTTTTTGGACTCATGCCTTGTTATCTAAGTCAAAAAGCTCAGGTGGTTACTCTGTCTTGTGAGCCGATGTTTACTTTGCTCAAATTCTCAGCGTGATTGGCCTACAATATAGGCAAATAATACATCACCGTACTATACTGTGTTTTTAATAATATAGGCTTGTATACAATTTCCTTCCCACCACACACTGAAGGCTTTAAAACTCATGACTGAAGGAACATTTTGAGAGCAGTACGGTTCTATAGTTGTGCTCTGTGTTGAACATCAAAATGACCACTTCTTAACTTCAAAATTCAGTTACGGAGATATTGTTTTCTACTATATTTGTGACAGTTTGTGTTATAGTGATTTTTCTTAGTTGGTGTGGGCAAATGTAACAAACTGAGGGTGAGGTTGAAGTGCATATTAAGGGCATGTTGACCCAGTTAGGTCAACTTGAACCAATTTAGCATTTAGTAAATGAAAGACACGCCACTTAACTTGCCATAAGCAACATCTTAGTCATGGTGTCACTACCTTGTAAAACCATATAATGCAGTAAGTTTGGGATGTCTTTAATTTTTACATATTTAAGTGAGCGGACATTTCACAGTTTTTCATAAATATTAATATTAAAACTGCCTACTACTTAATGGCTGACATCAATAACCTCTTACTGAGTGATACACAGGGTAGGTCTAAACAAATTCAAAATACATATTCTCAAAGAACCTGGGGATAAGATCAAGTTGTGGCAGCCGCCTTGTGGGATTGTCCATAGAAATCTTTTCTTCTGCTCTATACATGGAACATGGCATTCAAACAGCAATGGGGAGAAGACTTCAGTACAAAGAAAAATTATTCTTGCACATCCTTTGTGAGAAATCTAAACCAACTTAAATTATTTTTAAATTTCTAAATTGTCAACTCAAACGTTAATGTGCGTGTTTTACCTAAAAATGTAAAAACATGAAGAAGCCTGCTTGAGGAAAGCTTTCTCTTAAATATATGTATATGAGGAGCCTTAAATCCCTTATATCTGTAGGGAACCAAACAAACAATTATGTGTAATGGTGCGAGAACAGATATTCGAAACACAAAATAGGTTTGTATCTAATCGAGAAAGAAAAAACGCTGTGCACTCGCTGTGCACCGAAACGCGCGTCGGGCAACGTTTGATCTTCACAGGGCACCTTTACATGCACTCACGTTGGTGTAATTTATCATGCATATTTTAACATGATATAATGGATTAACACGTTAATTTTTCTTTCACTCTATTTCCAATCTCTGACTATTTACTTAGTTTACCAGGGAGAGAGGCTTTTCTTTATCTATGCTTCACTATCTCTAAGCATGTAAGAATACAGTACTACAGGAGATTTCTATTATAAAATGTACCTTGCTCTGCCTAAATTCACACATTGATGCTAGTAATTACAACTGATGAGGAAATGTTTAAACTTATGAGCAAATGTTTGAATTAATTGGCTTTAAGGTGACTATTTACTGACTCCACATATTGGAGTGACTACTCATAATAGCAAGTACTGGAAACCAATCTCCTTAACATTTTTTCTAACAGCACAACATTCTGGACTATCAACTAACACACGACTCTTTTTAGGATCCCTCCAACTTCTGGCCACCATTAATAAAGCCTGTTAATTATGGGGCACCCTTGAGTCAGTATTTCTCAGTCAGAGAAAATCTAAGAGCTTTAGATTCAATAGACTTTCTCAGTAACTCTTCTCTTGGACAAGTGAATGTTTTAACATTGTTTATTACCTTCCAGTGTATATCCACATTTAAGATCATTTTTCGTTTTTGCATGTGGATATTATAACTTTTTTCTTTCTTCATTTTTTCACAGGGGTTAAGCCCTAGACACCACTGGAGGGTCTCTCTGGTGATTATATTCAGGGTAGGAGGCCTTGCACAAGCTGACCACCTTGAACTGAATATATATATATATATATATATTCATTGTATCTAATTAACTCTAATGTATTGTTCCATGAAAATAGTTTTTAAAGCAGTGATTTCACTTTGTGTTCCCCTTAGGCTTGTCTTAAATCCCCTCATCTGTCGGTTTCAACCCTTCAATATTGGTCACTATGGCTCCCTACTACTGCTAGAGTTATGCAGTCCCTACTTTTCCTTATGTATAACTCAAAAAATAAGCTTGATTTTTAATAAAGAAACAAAATGGAACTTTTGGCAATTTTTTCAAGATGGAGCTTTTGTCAATCTTGTCATGGGCTGTACTGACCTCCTTCCAGTTTGGCATCACCACTCTGTATTGACTCTTGTGAGATTAGAGACTTCCGTTGGGTCATTTCATGTGCATTCCCAATTACTGGTAGAACATGGAATTCCCAGCATGTCTTAGGAACATGAAGGAAGATGGTGGCTCAAATAAAACATTGGGATAGGTTGAGTTGCAGCTGCCAGGCCTGAATGGCGGACACGGAACAGATGACAGAACCGAAATTTAATATTCTAAAAAGTGGATTTTCTGATACAGAATATTTGAAGAAATTGTTAGCAGCACAGACCTACAGCAGAGCAACAGTAAATATTTATATGTAACAAATGATGTGGCTTAGTTATACCTAGCTTGTGTTATAAATATGAACTTCACAGTAAGTAACATCTAAGCGGTATCCAGTTCAAATCTTTCATTTTAAACCAAAGCATTTTTTTTGTTCACTGTGCATCTTACTCCTTTGATTTCCAAAATGTTAAAAACATTTTGTCATGGAATAGATCATAGTCAACGCTTCTAAATTAGGCCTTGAGTTAAGTAACAAAAATAATTAAACGCATGCTTTCACTTAAACATATTGGGAAATTAATGTCATTACTTTGTTTTACCAAAAATGTATTTCTCAGGTTTAAATTCTCTTTTCTGGAGTCAAGCCTTGAGTAAATCGTTGTAAATACTTGAATGCATGCTTTCACGTTAATATATTAAGAAATAAATATGTCTTTTCTGTGTTTTAACAAAGTATTTAATTCATTTTTGTGTGACCTGTGTTCTCACGTGATGGAACTAAAATTCTATTTCGAAAATATTCTTGCAAAGTACCTGGTAATTCAAAAACTAAACAAATGCAGACTTCTAATACATTTTCCAAATGATTCAATATTGTTAGAATGACTTTCCAAATGATTTGTCTACAGACGTCACTAGTAGGGTCTATTGGACTTTTAGTAGATAAAGCATTTGGCAAGTTGTTTTTTAACAGTAATGAATCATTTTGAAAGCTTATTAAACTGAGACAGTAGTATTGTTGTACCCAGTCTATATATTGTTGTACAGATTTTAAACCAAAATAGGTAAAATTAGCTTTAGTGAATTTTTACATTTTGGCTGTTTGGTCACTTTGGTTGTTCAGCCAAAACTTTTCAATTCTTTCAGTCAATCTTTCCACAGTTATCAGCTTAGTAAATAAACTCTGATAATGGTATTACCAGAAACAAACAAAAACACAAATAAAAAAGACCACAGTAAACCGAACTACCTAAATAACCTGGATGCCTTGCGTTTTTGCTCTCCTAGTGGCCAACAATGGAACTGTACATTATTAAAACAATGTAACAAAAATATGTATATGTTGGCACTCAAACTCTAATATTGGTGCAGGTATGTAGGTTCCCCACCTATAACAAACCTCAAAATGCTTAAACGAAAATATAAAAAAGATACCGCACTCAGAAAGTAAATGCTCTAAAAAAGGTGGGATTTTAAATTTATATTATACACAAAGACAATTTTATATAAAAAAACAAACTATACAGGTCACGTTGCTGATGTACATATTGTACTATTAATTTGAGACTGGGTCAGGACTTATGCTATTCTCTACTCTTTAAGGTGTGAAGTGATATGCTGTATATCCCCCATAAGGATATAATTCCCCCTTTTTTTTCACCATTAAAATTGTATATGTTTTTTTAATATAAAATTGTCGTTGTGTATAATACAAATTAATAATCCCTCTTTTTCTTGAGCATTTCCCATTGGAGTGCGGTATCTTTTTTAATATTTTTGTTTTATTATTAAAACAATGCAAGATTGCCCCAATTCCTCTAATTAATAGAGCCAGTCTGTGCCTGTTTCTCAAACTATATTGTAATGTATGATATTTGTGTACATTTTATATAAATGTTTGTGTGTTGTTAAATGATATAATGTTATGGAGATTTTGAACCGATTTTTCTGTCTATTTTTGTTAGTGTTCCGATGACTCAGTGTACAAGCCATCTTATGTAAAACACAAAGAAAAGTGTTAATTATAATATGTTGTTTTTTTAAAATAAATTATTTAATTTGTCTTGAAATCTGTGATTTATTTTAAGCTGTGGGAGAGAGTTTAAACGTGATATGATTGTGTTATACATTCTAAAATTAGATAAGAATTGAAAATAATCTTGAAATCTAAATCAAGTCATGCAGACAGCCAACACATACATTAATTATTCATTGACTTTAAGCTCAAATTAAAATCTGATAAACTTATCGACTAAAACAGCGGCTTCTAATATTTCATTGACTTCCAGTCATCCTAAGGATTCTGTGCATTATGTTAAATATTGTTAGGAGGAGGGATTTAAACAGGAAACTATTAACCTTGATAACATTTCGTTTCTAAGACACGTCAGAACTCATAAAACTGAGAGGTTTATACATTAAACACTGATATCTCTGTTGGGTCCTAGGAAAATCCAACACTTGATTCCGTTAAAGCAGTGGTTCCAATCCAGTCCTTATGAACCAGCAACAGTCCAGATTTTTCAGAATCTTTATTGGAATAGTAAAGCCAGGGCCGGCCTTAGGCCTTTGGACGCCCTGTGCGAAAAATCCTTACAGCGCCCCCCCTTTCCGTCCCCCTCTTCCCACACACCCTGTCACACACACACGCAGATAGCCACATGCAGACAGCAACACACAGACAGCCACACGCACACACAGACATATAAACATAGAATGTGATGGCAGATAAGAACCATTCGGCCATCTAGTCTGCCCAGACAGTCGCGCATACGCAGTCACACACACAGAGGCAGACAGCAACTCACAGACAGCCATACACAAACACACAGACAGAGAGCCACACACAAACACACAGGCAGACAGCCACACACAGAGAGCCACACACAAACACACAGGCAGACAGCCACTCACAAACATACATGCAGACAGCCACACACAAACACAGAGGCAGACAGCCACACACAAATACAGAGACAGACAGCCACACACAGACAGCCAGACAGCCACACACATGCAGCCAGCCACCCACACACACACACACACACAGGCAGACATAGAAACATCGAATGTGACGGCAGATAAGAACCATTCGGCCCATCTAGTCTGCCCAGACAGTCACACATAGGCAGTTACACACACACACACACACACACACACACAAACACACACACACACACACAGAGGCAGATAGTCTCACACACAGGCAGATAGTCTCACACACAGGCAGACAGTCATACACACAGACAAAGTCAGACACACAGACAGACAATCATACACACAGTCAAACACAGACAGTCACACACACAGGCAGACAGTCAAACACACAGACAGTCACACACAAAGGCAGACAGTCAAACACACAGGCAGTCACACACCCACATACAAAAAAGGGCAGACAGTCACACACACAGGCAGACAGCCATACACACACAGGCAGACAGTCAAACACACAGACAGTCACACACACAAACAGACAGTCAAACACACTGGCAGTCACACACCCACACACAAAAAAGGGCAGGCAGTCACACACAGGCAGACAGCCACACACACACAGGCAGACAGTCAAACACACAGACAGTCACACACCCAGGCAGAAAATCACACATAGTTACCTCTGTTCCTTGTGGAGGCAGACAGGCAGTGCAGCTCCTGGATTCTGGTTGTTGGGGGAAGCAGGGACTCCTTCCTGCTTCCCCTGCAGCAGTTACACGGCACTTTTAGCTCCATCCCCGCGCGATGGTAAGCCCCGCCCCGCCGCAATTTTTTTTTTTTAGCCTGGCCGGCCACGTGTGAGCTGTGTCGGCCGCACAGCGCCCCCTGCTTCATGGCGCCCTGTGCGCCCGCACACCTTGCACACCCCGAAGGCTGGCCCTGAGTAAAGGAAATTATATTATCACTGGACTGTTTCTGAGCCACGAGAACTGGATTGAGAATCATGTCCTTAGAGCAAATCTGCTGCTTGCATTTTGCCAACATACAGATTTACCCTGGATGCCAATTAATCTAAGTACATTTTGGTTCATCAAAGTGGGCCCTTGAATGAGAGAAGGGAGTCTGGCAGGACTTAACATATATAAATAGATCCTTAGAATGGGTCAGAGACAATAAGTTGCAAGAGAGTTCATGGTCAAGAACGGTTCTTGGTATGACTATAGGGGAACCTAGAGACCCTTGGGTTAGAGGGTACTTTACATATTGCACACCTATCTCCACTTATAAAATTGTGCCCCCCACCTACTGTCCTTATCCTTTAATTTTACAACATGACAGGAGGCTTCTATTTTGCATCAACTCTCTTTACTAACTCCACAATAGCAAAGAAAAACATAAAGAATATAGAACCAATCAATCAACAAGTATATAAGGGTCATATTGAAGTTCTTCCTCTTTCTTTGCTGCACCATCTGCAGACAGGTCAGAGTTTTGGCTCTTCCCTTGGTTTTATTGTATCTGTTTCTACTATGTAACTTTTCCCTTTGTTTAGTACAGGCATAGGAAACCTTCGGCACTCCAGATGTTTTGCGGCTGCGACCAGTTGCGTTTCCCCATCCACCGGCTCTCTGATCCCTGCGAATGGCATACAACAGGGCATGGCTTCTCGCGGCCTACTTTTGCGGTGGCCATCTTGGATCTCGCATCTTGTGAGATCCAATCGGCCATCTTGATTTTGCCACGTGAGTGCCGTGACCGGACCCTTTTCTCACACTGTGCCGGATCTGCTCCCATAACAGAGACTCACCAGAATGGAGCACCTCTCCATGTGTATGCACCTATGGCTCAGTAAACAAGAGGTCCGCAACTGACTCCGGTCGGAATGCCCACGCCCTTCCCTACCAGATAACGTGTCTCAGACACTGGAATTCGACAAGGTTATGATGACCTTCATGATGCAGGGTGGACGCGACCCTCGTAGAGCTGTGGAAAGAGGATTCTGGGGTGCCCAAGACAAGCTGTTGGACTCCAACGGACCCCTCTCCCGAATCATGTACCTGGTGGACGATGCCTATTCGAGAGCTGACTCCTTTGTTGATAATATTAGGGAATGGTCACACGACATACGCGAGTGGGTGCAGAGATGTTTCTGCTTCATTGGAAACACTAACGTTACGCTCTCCTCTGAGAGGCAAAAAGCAGCACTACTCCACATACACGGAAAATATATTTATTACCCAATGGTACATACTGAGAAATGTACCTTTCTAATATTTGTTGGAAGATGTTCAATTTATCCTCAGTGTTCGTTTCACTAAAGAGTTTATGCCAGTCAATGTATTGTAAAGCTTCCCTTAACATAGAAATTGGCCTTTTTAAAATGCTATGTTTTAGTATACCCCATGTGCTTTAGTTTTTTCGAGTTTATTTCAAAGGACACTATATTGTGATCACTATTTCCCAAGTGTTCACCTACTTGAATGTTGGTCAAAAGATCAACGTTGTTTGTTAGAACCAGGTCCAGACAAGCGTCCTTTCTAGTTGGTGCTTGTACAAGTTGTGACATGAAGGTGTCATTTAACAAGTTTAAAAACCTAATTCCCTTTGCTGAGCTACTAGTCCCTCTGTCCCAATTTATGTCCGGGTAATTTAAATCTCCAATAATTAAAGTGTTACCCATCTGTTGTTCCTCGTCAATATTAACATTAGGTGGTTTATAACATATGCCAACCAATAGTTGATTTCCCTTCTTTTTCCCCAAGCAGATATTTACCCATAAAGCTTCCACATTTCCCTCATCACATTCCACTTGCTTAAGATTTGGCTTTAACTCATGGTTGATATACAAATATACCCCACCACCCTTCTTGTTTTTCCTATCCTTCCGAAAATAACGTGTACCCATTTAAGTTAACTGCCCAGTCATGTGTCTCATCCCACCATGTTTCAGTTATGCCTATTATGTCATATTGTTTAGAATATGCTTCTGCCTCTAGTTCCCCCATTTTGTTATTAAATGTTGTTCGTTCAGCAATCTTGGCGGCTCACATTCCCATTGGGGACCTGCCAGTGGGCAATGATCCCCTGATTTGTCGCTTGCTTAGAGGTATGCGTCTACGCCTCCCTCCAGGCCCCAAGTATTCCCGCCTTTGGGAAGTCAGCATCTACCTCCTACTGCTAGATTTCTCTACTTCAGCATTAAAAATGCAAAATAGGAAGCCTCCTGTCATGTTGTAAAATTTATTTAGAGATTATGCTAGCTTTAGTATACTAATAATCTTAATTTTAATAATGATAGGAGGTGAGTATTTTCCCTCCCTTATATCCTTTCCCTTATATCTTCTCTGGGGGGGGAGGTGGGGGGTTCCGGGATAGGTGGTGACCATTTCTGTACACTGTTTTTCCTGCTCTCGTTTGGTTTTCCTAGTATATCATGTTAGTCCTATTTATCCCTCATGCTGTATCATGTTTGGTTATTACAAGAGTGTCGTTTTGGTTTTATTTTGACTTGGGATTTTATGACTAGTTTAATTATTTAGTTTATTACTAGTTTTGTTACTGTTCTTAGATCATATATTCGTTAACGGAAAGGTTATTAGCGATATATATCCAGTGATGTTTCGTTTGCTTTGACGGTCTTCGAATCAGTGCCTAACCTATTTCACATCTCTTTTCAGTGTAATTCACTTCAGGATCCACACTGGCCTTTGTCTCGAGTTCTTCACATTAGTTGTTTTATTTATCTGTGATTCTGGATGTTCCTTATGGTTTTCGTTCTTTGTTGACTTGGACGTCGCTTCAAGAAAGAGGAAGAGCTTAGTTCAATATGACCCTTATATACTCTGCTGTTGATTGATTGATTCTTTATTCTTTATGTTTTTTTCTTTGCTGCAGTGGAGTTAGTAAAGAGAGTTGATGCAAAATACTTGCCTCCTGTCATTATTAAAATTAGGATTATTAGTATACTAAAGCTAGCATTATCTTCAATGTATAAGAGGTGTTACAGTTTGTCTGCAATATTTAGGGATGAGGGCTTTAGCCGCATGAGTCA